AAATTATTGATCGGCACTGATTTTCGAACTCGTCAAAGACATTGTTAATATAAACCTATGATATAGGTTTCATAAAAATCTGTCAAGAATTGTACAAATGAGAGCGCTGACAATGCAATTTTCCATATAATCAATATTTCCAAGGAGCATTACTCTTTTAAAAATGATTGATCGGCACTGATTTTTCGAACTCGTCAAAGACATTTATGAATGATATAAACCTATAATATAAATTTCATAAAAATCTGGCAAAAATTGTAAACATGACAGCACTCATTAGGCAGTTTTCCATATCATTCATATTTCCAAGGGTAATAACTCTTTTAAAAATCATACACGGCACTGATTTTCGAACTTGTCCAAGACATTGCTGATATAAACCTATGATATAAGTTTCATAACAATCTGGCAAGAATTGTACACGTGAGAGCGCTAAAAAGACCGGACAGACAGACGGACGGACGCCCGGTATTTCTATGCCCTCCGCAACGCGTTGCGCGGGGGACAAACATAGTAAGATACATGGCAAATTATTAAAAACAATATGTATTATGAAGAACAGCTGACTTTTAATTGTTTTGACCATTCAGGAGGAGGTGATGCAAATCCTAATGATTCAGCTTCGTCTTGGTACTCAAAAGGTCTCTCTAAAATCTTCAAAACTTGGTTTATATGTGTAAAATCGTTTTTCTCAACCTTTTCTATGACACTTTGTGCTATCCAGTTTCTAAGTATATATCGTGGGTTTGTATTGAGCATTATTTCTTGTCGTTCGTCTTCAGATTTTTGTTCTCTAAAAGATCGTTCTTTGTACATGGATATCCATTCTGTATACCATTTATGCTTTGATATTTTTTTCAATGCCCAATAGAACCTAGTGATTCCATAATCATTCAGCTTGTCGATAGGTAACTCTCCAAGTTGTCTAAATGTCATAGTGAAATCAGACTTGGTGTCCGACATCATTTTTAACAAAATGGCTATCAGTTGCTCATCGTCTTCAATATTATTATTATCAAACGTCAAACCTAACTTTTTAAGAAACAATTTCAAAAATTTTGATTTATAAATGTCAATATACCCGTTTAGAATTTGACCAGCTTGTTTCCTATGTTGTTTCGTCAACAATGGTTCCAAAGCAGCTCTTAGTTTATTTAGATTAAAGTGACCAACATTAGGCTGCTTCTCGTAACAATAACGACCTTCGTCGTCTGAAGTATTTGGGACAAAATCTGGATTATATTCCTCCATAAATCCAAAAGGACCGTAATCTATGGTTATAGATAGAAGGCTGAAATTATCGGTATTACATACGCCGTGTGTAAAGCCCACTGATTGCCATAGAACAATCATACGAGCAGTTTCTTCAACTACTGTAGAAAAGAACTCAAGATATCGATCAGCGCTACTTATATTTATCGATTTAAAATAATGTAAAATAACAAAATCTGTGAGGTTCTTCAAAAGTTCGTACTCTTTAGAATCAGTAAGTATCTCTAATGATCCGATTCTAAACCAAGATTCGGCTAATCTCAGAACAATTGCGCCGCGCTCAGTTCGACGATGACCATCATAAAACATGTCACGCACAACTGGATCATCGCTCACCAACAAGGATGCAGCTCTGCTTGTTGGAATTCCTAAAATAGATATAAAAGGACTGTTATATAACATTAACAAGGAAAATTCAAAAAGGGAAAGTGCATAAAAACTGACAAAATCAAAAATATCAATCAACGGAACGAGTGAAAAACAACTGAGATATTCCTGACTTGTACAGACATTTTGCCAAAAAAAAATGGTGGGTTAAACCTGGTTTTATAGCTCTCTAAACCTCCCACTTGTTAATATTTCCGTTATATTGACAAATTTGGTGAGAAACCCAAACAGACGAATCCCGTCATGCCCGTTAAATGCAAACATATTAAGTTCGATCATTATTGAATTGAAATTAGATGTTTCGGACGACTTAGACATGAACTTCTACACCCGTAACTTTATCTCTTAGTTTTGTAAATTACAGGGTATTAATCCCCCCCCCCCAAAAAAAAATAAGTAAGACAATCGACTCTAACAAAACTGTAACTCGTTTCTTAACTGTCCATAGGAAGCGGCACACTATGACACAGTAAAATAACAAAAAATACTGAACTCCACGGAAAATTCAAAAAGAAAAGTCCCTTATAAAATGTCAAAATCAAAAGCTCAAACACATGACACGAATGGAAAACAACTGTCATATTCCCGACTTAGTACAGACATTTCCTTATGTAGAAAATGGTGGATTAAACCTGGTCTTATAACTAGCTAAACCTCTCACTTGTATGACGGTTAATTATAAAATTAAGTTCGATATCTCACATGTCTGCAAGCATAAAGAAAAGATCTGGTTAACAAATACAGTTCAGAAGTAATAAAGTGATGGACAGAAGGACATGGATAACTGAACAGCCCGGGAACTTCGTAGCGTGATATAAACAAAATGTCTATTTCAATTACTTCAGTAAACATTGATTTTTAATAAAAACGAAGAACACACATACACATGACATAAACATACATTTGGACAATGAAAAAATTCTAAAGGCACTGAGGCATTTATACTAGGACACGGAAACGTAAATTCTGCTATCAACCAAAATAAAGGAATGCATATTCAACAGCAAACCAGATATTGAGAAGTGTTAAGAAAACGGAACATCTCCACAAACACAACTAGAAAACTTCACTTTAATATTTGAACAATGTCAGATTCTTCTTACAGAATCAGAATCAGAATCAGAATAATTTATTATAGTGTCACATACCAATATAAAACACAATGAATACATAATTACATAATATGCAATTAAAAATTAAATATTACAATTAGAATATTGGTACCCAGCCAAATAACTGACTTATGAGACACTTTAAAAATATACCTCCTTCGATAAAACATGTGATATAAAGTTTTTGCTAAAAATGGTTGAATTGCATCATTTGACATTAAGAAAATAAATTTGTCCTGTAAATCAAGATCGTTAAAAGTCTCACAAATATCATCAGATTTCTTCATTAAATCATATCTTAAATCTGCATAAAAATCGCACCCTAACAAAAAATGTTTTTCATCCTCAACACAATTATCTGTACAATATATACAAGTACGCTCATTTAAAGGAATTTTTGGCTTGGTGTATCTACCCGTTTCAACTGCCAGTGGTAAACAGCCACTTCTAAAATTTGACAAAACACGTCTATGCTGCCTATTACGAACTAATTTTACATAAGAACTAAATTCTAAAACATTTTTATACTCCCTATACATACGTAATTTATTACCATTACATTCATTTCTGTCATTAAACAATTTTTCAACCCATTCATTTTTATCTTTTTCATAGAGTTTGGATTTGATTTCTTGCAGTTTATGTTTGATGGAAAAAGTATCATTAATAACATTTTCAATACCTAAAATTTGTGCTTTCTTTATACAGTTTTTATCCCATGACCTAGAACAATCCTTACTCCACGCATGAACCTTATATGTAAGTCTTGTATCGTAAGTTTTGCTCACTCTAAGAAAAAGACGAAAAGTTTCCAAAAACAGCTGAATGCAGGGTTGGTAATATAACTAAATAAAAAAATATCAGTAGTCTATAGTAATAAACATGCCTAAAATTTGACATTTAAACATCGTAAATACCCAAAGCCACTCGGAAGATTTTAAACTATTCATTAACAACCAAAACTGTGCACAGTAATACATGCAACAGGCCATGCATCTACCGATCCCACAGAAAGATGTTGCAAAGGTTCTTTAACGTGCAAAGAGCTTAATTGGCACTCCCCTACACGGAACATCAGTCATCAGATTAAACATCACAATTCCAACTGGACGCCTGGTCTCTAAATATACATACCTATAATGGGTTACTTTCACAAATTGTGACTTGGATGGAGAGTTGTCTCATTGGCACTCATACCACACTTTCTTATATCTATGTAAATGATTGGCATTTGGGTATTGTATGAAAAAAAAATAGGATGGTATTATGATGGGCAAATGATGAAAGGGCCCTTAATTTTGACGCTTGAAAATTTATATTCCACATCTAAGAACTACAATAATAAATTGTAGCTTACCAAGATAAAACATAGCCTCACTGCAGAGAAATTCTCTCACAGATGATCGTATAACAGCCCTGCCGTCACCACGTCTTGAATAAGGAGTCAGACCAGAACCTTTCAACTGAAGTTCATATCGCTCTCCACGTTGGTTGAAATATTCTCCGATCATTACAGCCCGACCATCCCCTAATTGTCCAGACCAATATCCAAACTGATGGCCTCCATATCTATGGGACAGCGGGGTTGTTAGCAACTTTTCACCTCCTACAAATGCAACGAAATCACTTGACAACGCAACGATTGGATCCAAGTCCAAAATGTTACTTAAAACATAATTTGACACTGCTGCTAATTGAACATTATACTTCAAAGGAATCGGTTTCACTGTTGAAAATACACACTCGGATACTCTTCTTACATAATTTCTAGTCTCCTTTTCTATAGGAAACGATTGTCGCAGTAGTTGCTGCTTTGCAAGACTCCATTCGGCAAAGTTCGTGTGTACTTTTAAATGTAAATGACAAGTGTCATGGTTAATAAACTTTGCTAGCGGGTTGATGTTGTCACATTTGAAATCGTTGCTTGTTTTTATGGTATTTGAAATAGTTAAAAGCGTTATCAACTTTAACACGTATTTCATATTTCATAGCTCGGTTTGTTTATAGTTGAATTTTACTTAAAATTCTACCATCATGGAACATGCTCCCACTTTACAAAATCGATTTGCTAAAATATATTATCACAGGCACTTTATATGCTTTTTTCGTATTGTTTTTTTTTTTTTTGTATTTTAAATAAATGATTGTGTGGCAGACTGTTAAATTCAATTATAGCAAACAACCTCACATTTGTTGACATAAAACGCCAAACAAGAAAAGATAGTATTCTAAAATAAATTAGTCAATACACGGAAGATAACTCTACGAGAAAACATGGTAAAAAATGGCAATTACTTGTAGTCAGCTTGAAGACAAATTTAGATCCCAGCTTGGCGCCACACATGTTGTGAGTATTGTAAAGTTAATATCTCTGACGTTTAAAATCACAATCACTAATTATATTGTTCAATGTTGTTAAAGTATCCCGTAAAGTCAAAATCTTGAACAAGGCAAATACAGCAAACAGTTGCAACGAATCTAGCCCTGAAATTTGGCAAATTTAGTTTAATATAGATATCTTTCGACTTTGTCGTTTATATAGTGTACCCCTATTCTATCCTATAAATGTAATTTTGTTTTCCTTTTTCAATTTTGTGGTCACATCAACTTGAAAATTTAATACACATATTCATCATGTTCATTGACATTATGAAGTGAACTGGGACATAATATAGTATAATAGTCCCAGAGTTAACTGCTTGATGTATATGTGCCAAATTAAAGTTTTGACAATGATTTTGTGGTTTACTAAACATGGAAATGTGATAGCGTGTGCAGGGAATGGTGTTCTTAATTGGACATGTTGGACATATATTCTTGTTTAAACTGAAATATTTTGTCTTATTGATCCGAAAACCATCAACAACTGATGTTTACTTTCCGTCAATATGCATATAAATTCTAGAATGTTTGAATAAAGGTTATCCTTTACTTTAGATGTTTATTAATGAAAACACTACAATGTTAACAATAGTCTCCTTTTACTCTGCAGGATGTTGTGGACATGTCCGATGGCTGTGGGTCAAAGTTCAAAGCTATAATTGTATCACCTCAATTTGAAGGCAAACCATTATTACAAAGACACAGGTAATTGGTCATGATGGCATAGATATAAAGTAAAGAAATATTGGATTTTATCAGTAATAATAAAAATATGCAGTTTTTTTTTATGTTTGAAAATGGGGATGGGTTCCATGATATGGTCATAATTGTGCACCGTTTAGAATTATTCATATATATATACTACCATGATAAAATAACATGTTCAGATATTTAAACACATATCATGACACATATATCATTTCTCTCAACATCAATTAATAATAAATGATTTTAATTCATGATCTTTTGAAGCAATCAAATGATACAGAATTAAAATAACCTGTCTCACTTAGAAGCTCAGGATATATCTATGGAAATGGTTGACATAAACGTACCAGTGGTTTAAAAGATTTATGTCCCTTAACCCAGGTCGACCTTCTTAAATGGTTACAAATTTTCTATATTTTTTCATTTGAATTATATATTGTTGTTGGTTTTTCTGACCACAGACTGATTCTTTGAACTACTTATGCTTTATAATAAATAATTTGAAACTACATATGGTGGTCTTAAGGATAAGTAATTGATATAGAATTGTGATTGCTTCTGCAGCAAGGAATTTTGTTAATTTAAAAATGTTAAATCAACTTTATTCAGTACATGCATGTAGTAGATCTTTTTATATCGAAGTGTTTTCCACCAAAAAGAAAAATAGATGAGCAAAGTAAAATTGTCAAAACTAGTTTAGTATGAAGGGGAGTTGAAAAAAGAGTGTTTCAATTTGAGTAATCAACTAATTTACTCCTAGTACAATTGAAACCCACAGCCTTCACACTTTCTAATTTTGATTTATATACATTGAATATATGCACCTCAAATTCAAGTGTCATTATCATTAATATGCCCTTTCAAACTACAAACCATATAAGTATGACAACATGACCATTTGTGTATTTGACACATTTTCCACACAGTTTTTTCATTCTCATCATGTAAATTTTATTTTCTAGGTAGTGCATGTTAATTAGTAGCATTTTTTAGGATTTGCTTAAGGAAATCAAATATCAGTGTAAATACGTTTTTTCCTCAAAGAATAAAAAGTGGTAAAAAAATCAAATAAATGAATTCACAATAATAAAGTAATTATTTCATGTGTAGTGGAATGGATCTTGGTAAGCCCCTTCTATCATTGCAAAGTGTCTGAACACAGTGTATTATTCATAAAATAACTGGTGCTTTTACTTTCAGGTTAGTTAACTCTACTATTGAAGAAGAAATGAAAATCATACATGCATTTGAAATGAAAACTTGGACGCCGGAGCAGTATGAAAAACAGAAGAATAATGTTGGTTGACAAAACTTTTGTAGGACTGACTCCTTTGCTATGACAGCTCCAAGTTTGACATTTATAGGATGGCAGTATCAACAACTTAGAATAAATAATCAATTACAAATGTTTTACTTTTTGTCATTTTAGTCATAATCACCATTTACACAAATATACTGTGGGGTAAGATTAACTTGCTATTTCTAAACCTTGAATTGACACCATAGTGGTTTTAAAAGTCAATATATGTTTGGGGGCAGGTAAAAATTTGGTGAATATCAAAGACCTTACCAAGTCAATATGAGAGTGTTTTGAACTTCATATGTAAGAAGTTAATAATTAACCTCCTGAAGATCTAGTACCATAACTTTATATATGAAGAATAGTAATAAAAGCTAATACATCACAGACAAGGTGATTCATTTAAAAATCCCCTTGGTCACTGTGGCTTGGTCATGATTTTTACAGTGAATAATGGTGGCTGTTGGTCACTGATTCTACTATATCTTTCTATATTCAATAGATATTGACAGGGTTGCAGATCATTGTTAACTTGGATATGACAGAACATAATATTTTAAAGGTCTGCAAAGTCAAGGACAAACAAATATCAGATTGCAATTTACCTAAAGACAACATACTTATTAAAGATCATAAGTTTAAAATAACTGAAAAACTGAATTATCATGAAAAATTCCTTTGAAAAAATGAACCATAGAAAGGATATGAAGAACAGATGATCAGACAGGCATGTACAACTTACCAAACAAAATTGACCTGTCACACAACACCCAATGATTGTAAGATCAAATGTGGTTCATATAAAACAGAGACAGAAATTCATCTGATAAACTAGAGTGCACATGCTGAAATGTCTTGCCTGCTTTACTTATCATATTTGAAATGATGTTCAAAGTGAGTAAAATGATGGTTTTGCAACAAGTATCACATTAACTAAACAGTATCAAAGATCAATTGTAAATGAGGTCAAGGTCAAATGAACCCTGCTTGACAGACATATACACCTAACTATTATTCCATTCACCAAATAAAGTTACCCTTTTGATTGTAGTAACTGAGAAACTGACCTAATAAGAAAGTTGAACGTTGACCAATGAACCATATAAAATGAGGGCAAGGTCATATGAAACCTGCCAGACAGACATGTACACCTTTGAATCATTCCATACACCAAATTTTATTAACTTACTGTTTATAGTATCTGTTAAACCAAAAACTTAACATTGACCAATATACCATAAAAATGAGGTACACCAAATATTGGCCCTATTTCTTATAGTATCTGAGAAATAGACCAAACGACAAAAACTAAACACTGTCCAATGAACCATGAAATTAAGGTCAGGGTCAGTTGAAACCAGACAGTCGGACATGTAATCTTACAATCATTCCATACACCAAATATAGTTGACCTACTGCTTTTCATATCTTAGATATCATATGGACTTGACCACAAAAGCTTAACTTTGATCACCAATCCATAAAAAAGAAGTTGAGGTCAGGTGAACCCTGTCTGGCAAACATTTAGACTTTGCAAGGATCACATATACCAAATATAGTAATCCTATTACTCATAATAAGTGACTATTTCACATGACAAAAAAAAATACATTTTTTTTTCAAGTAGTCACTGAACCTTTTTGTGCTGATGCCGCTTAAAGCAATCACCAATCAATCAATCAGAACCATGAAAATGAGGTCAAAGACAATAGACATATGACTAACTGAAACCTCTAAACATAAGGTATCTGCATACCAGGTAAAAGCGAAACAAAAAAAAGTAAAAAATTTAAAAAAAAATGTTTATTTTAAGGGCAATAATTTAAAAATTGGTTTACAGATTTTTCTGTAATTTTCAGGGTTAACAGATCATGTTGTGCTGATCAATATTGCAATTTAAACTTTTAATTTAGCTTCTATATTTTTACAATAACAGCCAAAAACTGCAAAAAATGATATTTCAGGGGAAATAACTCCAAAACAGGCCAAAATATATTTAAACAATTTTCAGGGTAGATACATCTTGTTTAGCTGATCCTTTTTGTAATTTACATGTTTAACCTTACTCCTATAGTCAATAACTGCTAAAGATTGTAAATGATATTTAAGGGGCAATTACTCCAAAATAAGTAATCTGGTTTTTTTCCAATTTTCTGGGTGGATACATCTGAAAATTGGAAAAAAAATCAGATCACTTATATAGCACGAACACATTAAATAAGGGAAAATAAGTTAAAACATTAAAGAATATTAACTTAAAAAATATAAAAGAAATATGTATAGAAAAATTGTAAGGGGGTTCGTGGAGCCCCGTGTCTAGCCTGCGAATGCTGCTGTCAGTGTAAAAGTTAATGTTGACTTAAAAAGTGAGTCCATTTATCAGTAAAATACAGAATTTAAAAAAAAAAAAAAACTTTTTCTTTAGATGCTATTTCTTGGTCTTGAAGATTGTCTTCTGTCCAAGTTTCATAACAATCCATGAAGGTTTACAAATTCATCATGTCAAAAAATTATAATCCCAGACTGTCTGAAAATGTTAACTGTAAAAAGTGAAGTCCATCTATCAGTTCTTTGATGTATAACAAACTTTAACCCCAGACTGTATCTACTTGTTAACTGTATAACAAGAGTGCACACACTGAAATGTCTCGCCTTCTTTACTAATGATTGATATTATGTTGATAGTCCTAAATAAAAAGCTTTATTATACACATAAACTTAACATTAACCAAGTAAACTAAACATTGACCAATGAACCATGAAAATGAGGTCAAGGTCAGATGAACCATGCTAGGCAGGCATGTACAGCTAACAATTCTTCCATACAACAAATATAGTTGACCTATTGCTTATAGTTTAAGAAAAACAGACCAAAACACAAAAACTTAACACTGAGCAATGAACCTTGAAAATGAGGTCAAGGTCAAATAAAACCTGCCTGACTGACATATAGATCATAAAATATTTCCATACACCAAATATAGTTGAACTATTGCATATAGTATTAGAAAAAAAGACCAAAACTCAAAGTCTTAACTTTGACCACTGAACCATGAAAATGAGGTCAAGGTCAGATGACACCTGCCAGCTAGACATGTACACCTTACAATCATTCCATACACCAAATATAGTAGACCTATTGCATACAGTATAAGAAAAACAGACCAAAACACAAAAACTTAACACTGAGCAATGAACCTTGAAAATGAGGTCAAGGTCAAATAAAACCTGGGTGACTGACATATAGATCATAAAATATTTCCATACACCAAATATAGTTGAACTATTACATATAGTATTAGAAAAAAAAGACCAAAACTCAAAAACTTAACTTTGACCACTGAACCATGAAAATGAGGTCAAGGTCAGATGACACCTGCCAGTTAGACATGTACACCTTACAATCATTCCATACACCAAATATAGTAGACCTATTGCATACAGTATAAGAAAAACAGATCAAAACACAAAAACTTAACACTGAGCAATGAACCTTGAAAATGAGGTCAAGGTCAAATAAAACCTGGGTGACTGACATATAGATCATAAAATATTTCCATACACCAAATATAGTTGAACTATTACATATAGTATTAGAAAAAAAGACAAAAACTCAAAAACTTAACTTTGACCACTGAACTATGAAAATGAGGTCAAGGTCAGATGACACCTGCCAGCTAGACATGTACACCTTACAATCATCCCATACACAAAATATAGTAGACCTATTGCATACAGTATAAGAAAAACAGACCAAAACACAAAAACTTAACTATAACCACTGAACCAAGAAAATGAGGTCAAGGTCAGATGACACCTGCCAGTTGGACATGTACACCTTACAGTCCTTCCATACACCGAATATACTAGACCTATTGCTTATAGTATCTGAGATATGGACTTGACCACCAAAACTTAACCTTGTTCACTGGTCCATGAAATGAGGTCGAGGTCAAGTGAAAACTGTCCGACGGGCATGAGGACCTTGCAAGGTACGCACATACCAAATATAGTTATCCTACTACTTACAATAAGAGAGAATTTAACATTACAAAAAATCTTAACTTTTTTTTCAAGTAGTCACTGAACCATGAAAATGAGGTCAAGGACATTGGACATGTGACTGACGGAAACTTTGTAACAAGAGGCATCCATATACAAAGTATGAAGCATCCAGGTCTTCCACCTTCTAAATATAAAGCTTTTAAGAATTTAGCTAACGCCGCCGGATCACTATCCCTATGTCGAGCTTTCTGCGACAAAAGTCGCAGGCTCGACAAAAACTGAGTCCATTTATCAGTAAAATACAGAAAAAAGAAAATAAAGGTTTTTCAAAATTTTGCTTTGGATACTGTATTTTAGTCATAAACAAGCTTCTGTCCAAATTTCATAAATTTCCATGAAGGTTTGACACAGTTATAGATGACTGAAAAACTTCAGCCTTAGACTGAGCCCGAGTGTTAATTGTAAAAAAATTAAGTCCATTTATCATTAAAATACGGAAAAATAAAGAGAAATATTTTCAAAATTTTGCTTTGGATACTGTCTTTTGGTCATAAACAAACTTCTATCAAAATTTTATAAAATTCCATGTAGGTTTGACAAAGTTATTGATGTCTATAAAAACTTTAACCCAAGACTAAATCTTAATGTTAACTGTAAAAAAAACTTAGTCCATTTATCAGTAAAATACAGAAAAATGAAAATAAATATTTTCAAAATTTTATTCTGGATACTGTCTTATTGGTCATAAACAAGCCTGTGTCCAAATTTTATAAAATTCCATGAAGGTTTGACAAAGTAATTGATGACTGAAAAACTTTAACCTCAGACTAAATCTGAATGTTAGCCGTTAAAAAAGAAATAAGTCCATTTTTTTTAGTAAAATACGGGGAAAAATGAAAATAAATATTTTCAAAATTTTGCTCTGGATACTGTCTTTTGGTCATAAACAAGCTCCTGTCCAAATTTCATAAAATTCCATGTAGGTTTGACAAATTTATTGATGTCTAAAAAAACTTTAACCATAGACTGAACCTAAATGTTGACGCCGCCGCCACTGCCGAAGGAATCTAGGATTGCTATGTCTCGCTTTCTCAAAATAAATTTTGCAGGCTCAACATAAAGGTCCATTCCCCCGAAACACCTATTAATTTTCATGCAATCCATAAAGGGCAGGAGATTCAGTTTCAGGGGAGTTTACTGTTACTTTTTATACGACCGCAAACAAATTTTTTTTTGGTCGTATATTGGTATCACGTCGTCTGAAGACAGTTGGTTTCAGGACAATAACTTTATTATAAGTGAATAGAAATCTATGAAATTTAAACACAAGGTTAATAACCACAAAAGGAAGGTTGTGATTGATTTTGGGGGTTATGGTCCTAACAGATTAGGAATGAGGGGCCAAAAAGAGGCCCAAAAAGACATTTTTCTAGTTTCCAGACAATAACTTGTGTTTAAGTGTATGGATCTCTCTGAAATAATACCACAAAGGGATGGTTGAGATTGGCTTTGGGGGTTATGGCTCAAACCGTATAGGAATTAGGGACAAAAAAGGGGGAAAAACTAGGGTTTTCTAGTTAATGGACAATTTAAAAGCAGTGTAAAAGAGGTAATCCAAAAACAAAATTGTACAATGTTGGATTACCTCCCTTACACTGCTTTTAAATTGTCTATTTACGACTTTTATGATGTATTTAAATGGGTAATTATGGTTGCAAACTCCATTGGTAATTTGAATTGAGATTATGACCATATCTTGAGGGAAAGAATTTTTTCTCATTTCAGATTTTCAGAAATTAAACAAAATTTTTTCACATATTTTTTTAATTCTAAGTTCTTTGACTACAGTTATTCTGTGTCAGAAACCTATTATGTGTCAAATATTTAATTACAATCCAAATTCAGACCTGTATCAAGAGCGAATATTGTGTCCATTTTTGCCCCAACTGTTCAGGGTTGGACCTCTGCGGTCGTATCCAGCTGCGCCCGGCGAAGCAATTTATTTTGTTTATGATGACGTCTTAATAGCAGAATCAAATCAGAGTTAAAAATTTGAAAAGCAGAAAATATGCTAAAAAAAAATCCATCTATAATTGAGATTTAAAAAGAAATCTTATACTTTGGAATAAACAGAAGACAATATATTTTCTTTTTGTTAAAGTTGTTGCTTACATTTGCACTGCAATTGGAATCTATAGTAATGGATTTTAAGAAATCTTTTTGAAAGTTGGAAAGTGATTTTTATACAAGATGATGAGGGTATAAGGGGTATGTATGCATTTCCTAGAATTTTCTAGTTTTCTCTTAAATAAGAATAGAAACACATGCTTATTTTCATGTATTTATTTCCAAATGCACAAAGAAAGCCAATTTAACTCATGTAATAATAAATGAAAAATGACAATACCAGAAATTTGTAAACCTCAATTTACAGGTTGGGAAAACTGGAAATTTTGTCAAGTGAAATTTAAATAAAGTTTTAAAATAATACTATACTGCAGACATGCATTATTCAAATTTTTTCTCAATGCACATTCATTTTTAAGGTTACACTTTGTAAATACAGCTGTTTCACAAGCCACGCCTCTTTTGGGGAGATATATAATATTCATAGATATTTTGATTTGTTTATGTACTGGTTCCCAGATATGATCTCTATGTTTCATCTCATAGAGAAATAACTTGGGAATGTTACCAGTATAAAAACACATTGAAGCGGTGATAATTGAATTCTCAGAAAGACCCAAAATGAAGGTAGGGGTAGTACAGAATTTTAGTTTAAGTTTAAACTCTTATAAGTTCGGGCATATAAACGTTGAAAATATGCCGCACAGCCCTATGTTTTGACCTTTGAATAAAAATGTAGTGCATGTCAACTTTCCATTCTAGGAAATAATTTTTTACAAAACTTCATAGTAAAAGTGGCACAGCTTTAGCCGCAAAGGGAGTTCCTATGGGAAATTGCATTGTCTATATTTACAGAAGTGCAACCTTAAGTAACATGAAATGAAGTTAGGTTGTTTGTTTTGAGATTTAAAATAGTACTAATTTTTTTAATATCTAACTTAAATATACAAGTTTTAGCAAAATTGTACACTTGAAGTAAATGATATGTACATGTATTTTAAAAGGTAGATCAGAAACACAAGGAGGTATTATATGGTCATATGAATACAGGTCTATATTTGGAACAAAGCTCAGATTTAACCCATGACTAATTCCACACTTAACGAAGCATTGAGAAGTTTAGTTACACAATGTAGCAATATACCAGGTTTAATCCACCATTTTCCACATAAGGAAATGCCTGTACCAAGTCAGGAATATAACAGTTGTTTTCCATTCATTTGATGTGTTTGAGGCTTTGATTTTGGCATTAAGTGATAAAGGACTTTCCATTTTGAATTTTCCTTGGAGTTCGGTATTTTTGTTATTTTACTTTCTATCACCAATGCAGTTTTACAGTAGCAAATTTTGGTGCATAGGCTTATATGAATAGGACTCCTAAATCTTTTGGAAGAGAAAAAAAAAAAAAATTTTATCATTACAAATTTATGTGTTCATCACATTTCATAAGTGTACACAAAAAAGCTCCCATAGATATATTTACAGATTTGAAGAGCACTGATTCTCAGTAGAAGGTTAATGTCATAAAATCAAGGTATTAGAATACTGGGACAATAAATATTCATTAGGTAGCTGTCATACTCTATCAATGAAATTGTAATGTAATTCTTTCATTCAATTTACAATTCTTGAAAAGTCTTCAAAAACATAAAGTTCTTTATTTTTTAGTCTATTTCTTTCCTTTCTTGCCACCTCCTTTCTTCTTCCTTGCTTTAAGGGCTTTACGGACTTTGAATGATCTCCAGAAAGCTTGGATTGTTGTGGCAGCTTTGACCATGAGAGCCATCTCACGCTCAGCAGCTTCACGTTTCTCACGAGCCAGTCTCCTCTCCTCCTGAATCTGGTCATACTCAGCTGACATAGTTTTAAATCTTTCCTCCACTTCATCTAACTGTTTCTTCTGGGCATTATATGCAGCTTCTATTTCTTCATATTCCTCCTGAAAAATAAGAATAAGTTGAGTTCTCCTATTTCACTGTTCAATAAGGTGTAGGATAAAAATGTATGACACGACAATTATCAGTATAGTTTGTTCTGATTGCTGGAAGGATTTTAAATACATGTACAGTGGGTTTGTATTGTGCTTTTTTCCTACTGTTAAATTGGAAATATAAGAATCTGTTTTTATAAATCTATTTACAGTAAGAATTTGGTTGTGAAAATAAAATATTGTGAATTTATCGCTTATTAATATAGAAGTCTGTGAAGAAAATGCCCCTTCAAAATTAGATAACATTGCAATCTGATTAAATTACAAATCATGTGACCAAGCTACACTTACAAGGATCTGACAACACTCCGTTTTACTTTCTGTTCTGGTAGTATAACATCAGCCAATGAAAATTAAGCCTTCAAATTTTTGAAGGTGCATGTGTATATGAATCCAATAAAACCAGAGAATCCTAAAAGGTCTTAATAAAAACAGAAAGTAGAACAGAGCTTTTTCAGATCCTTGTAAGCAAAGCTTGGACACAGGATCTGTATTTCAGTCATATTATGGTAATATGATGTCATGATCAAAATGAAAAACTAAAATTTCCTTAGAACACAAGTTGTTCCCACTACCTGTATTTCTTTTCTCTTGACTTCAATAAAGGACACTTAATCAATTTAGTAGACAGTATGGTTTGAATTTACAACATTTTAATGTTTGATTTTAAGGATTCAGAGTTCAGAGTGTATCACTCACTGTCACAGGCTAGAGTGAAAAAATTTACCACTGAGAAAGTTTTTTAAACTGATTCCCCATTATTCATTAACAACTAAGGTCTATTCTGATAAGAATTTTGTGAGAGTTCATATCTGTAATTTATCTATTTATAATTTTACATTGCTTTGAAATGCATTCAAGCTTGTCCATGCAATCTTCAACACTCTACCTAATAGCAATTAGGTGAATGTAATGTGTTAAACATACTTTATGAAGACTTTTAATTACCATGAAATTCTCCGATGATTTATTTTCAACTTTAATTGTTTAAGATAACCACATCTATATCCTGATCTTATTTTTATATGTGTGTGATAATTCAATGAAATTACCTGTCTCTCATTCATTTCACCATCATATTTCTGAATTAAACCTTCAACTTGTGACTCCACCTTAAACTTCATCTGTAAAATATAAAATATAATTACTGTAATTTGAGAAATTTGTGATACAGAAATTAAGGTACATTATTATGGAAAATGCCGTGTACAATTATTAATACAATCAAGTCCAAATTAAGGAGCCTGTTATTTAGTGGCTGTTATTGTTCTCTATCTGCCATATTTGTTTTTTGTTTATATCATTAATCTGGCTGATGGTTTTTTTTTCTTTGTGTCACATGCAAAAGCCTTTTATACTGATAAATTACTACATAAATCATAAATTACTACAGTATAGGCTTTACAGTGCCCTATAATTGTTTACATCCACATTCTTTGGTTTCTGATGGATTATAATTGTCTCATTCGCAATCATACCACATCTCCTTATTTTTAAATCTGAGAATTCAACATCATGAGAAATCTGAATATATATGCATTTTTTGCAATATTATGTTAAAATCAAATAAATTCAATGCATACAACATAATGTCATCTTTGAATTTGGAGAACTGAATTTAAACAAAAATCAGGTTTTTCTTGGGTAATTGATTAAATGACAGTTTGAATTAATGAACTGATGCACGTCATCATGTATTTTTCTTATAAACCAGTCAATAAAAACAATGTAGATATAGATAAAATGATATAAAATGTAAAACTTTGAATTCTTAAATAGATATTATCAAATTTTTCATTAATCTGACTTAGTTCAACAACATTTAATTTAATTTATGTTGTGTATATGAGATGATATCTCACGAATATTTACCATGTTTACCTGACATCTCATTTTATTCACACAGGGTTGTTACTAAGAATTTTTTAAGGCAAGTCCAGGGACTCGTCAATTTTGGCCAAAGCAAGTCTATTAAAACAGTGAGAAGATGAAATTTTATTGTTATATCATTTATTCTTTCAGTCCCCATGACATAATATAAGAGCAAGGAAATGACATCACCTTTAGATAATTTTTAAACTTTTGTCATAAAATAATTATATTTGTGCTTACATTTGTCATGTTTGTAGTTGTAACAACATTTTTCAATCCCGATGCATCTTTGGACTCACCAATTTTGAAAGTGATGAGACCAGACAGATTTTCATGAGTCCAGGACTCATGGACTTGCTTTTTAAGTGAGAACCCTGATTCACAGTCAATACAAACAATATTTTGAGATAGAATTTCAATATATATTTTACCCTTCTTAGATCTTGTTCCTTTTCTCTATGCTCCAATACAAGGTTTTGAAGCTGGGTTTTTAGTTGTACTATTTCATTCTGAAGCCTTTGTACTTTTCCTTCATGGTTCTTTTTATCAGCTGATTCTTGTTTATCCTGTTCATTCTTAATCCTTCCTATATTTTCTTTGGAAAAGTTTATAATCTGTTGTAACTCTGTCTGTAGCTTCTTTATTACATCATTTTTCTTTTTCATCTAAAAAAAGGAAGAATCTTTATAAATACAAAATTAATATATAAAAACTTATGTATTTTATGTTATAAATTGTACATTTGTATGTGTTTAATACAATCTTTCATAATAAATTCATACATGTACATACATATATATATATGAAAATAATGTTATATGAAATAAATGGAACTTCTGGCCAACCTGCATTACTACTGACAATAAAAAGTAGATACATGATTGTACATGCAGTATTAAATTTATATGTTTAATATATTTTGCTTCAGCTATTTGTACTGCATGGTGATCTTGACTAAAATAAATAAGTATGTCACTGTGTGTTGTTTTTATCTACAATTTTGTGGTCACATCATATGGTTGTTGTTGAAAGTCAATATAATTTGATGATTCCCTTTTTCGGTTTTCATTGTAAAGGTAAGATATATATCATTGTAAACAAAGCATTGCAAATAATATTCTTTTAAAATTTAATACATGTAGTATAACACTTTAGAACTTGGAGAACATTGAGAGGTCAATTATGATTTGAAACACAACAGTTCAGTGCTCTTAATAAATGCCTATCTACAATGTATTAATAAACTGACGTGTTGGAGTCAACAAAATATGTCAAGTCTTACAAATTCAATTGAAATTTAACATGCTTATATTTAATACCTCCTCTTCCTTATCTGCAACTGCAGCGTCAAGTTCCTCTTCCATCTTTGCAATAATAGTAGCATTGTTTCTCTCTCTTTCAGAAACTTCCTGGATGTAAGCCATTCGTTCTTTCTCTTCTTCAGGTGTTGTTAACAGTTTATTTAGCAAGATATCTCTTAAATCATTCATGTAAGATAAAAGCTGGGTACTCTCTTTAGGTCGTGCATGAAAGTGGGTCTTCACAGAATTAAATGCAGTCCCATTTATCTGAAATTGTCTGAGAATGTTTTTGCACGAAGAACTAAGTTGCTGAGCTACAAGACTCAAATTTCGCATTGTACGTTCTGTTTGACTGTCAAAACTAGCAACAGAAGGATTAGATCTTCGACTGCTTGCACTACTACCTCTGGATGGAGGCTTATTAACAGGGCTCTGTGGAGGACTTTGACCATCATAATTTGAAACTTGATCTCCATCATCTTCAGTAGGTTGAGTTTCATTAGTCTCATTTTGTTGATCTTGTGATGCATCACTTCTGACAGAACTGGCTGATCGTATTCTATTCCGTTGCATTTGCCTGTCAAGCTGTTCTTTTATCTCATTGTAGCTACCGATTATTATACTGTGGTTATCTAACAAGCTGCACAGCTCTGCACCAAAGCTAATTCTAAATCTGTCCAAATTTTCAAGAATATATGGGATCATGGAGGAAATTTCTATTTTTTGTATTGTATCCTCAAATACTGACATAACACGCTGCGCTTCAACCGTAGCTATTTTTTTTCTTGCAGGTTCTAATGCCCTCGCTGGATCTAAACGAAGTCTGTTTCTTATTTTCCCTGGTGCTCCTTTTTGAGGAGGTACAGGAACCGTTAGTTTCATGTTTAAAATTGGCTCCGTGGCAATTGAACCTGTTAATGTCTGTGTTCGCATTGCTGTGGTGGCCATTTTCGAACAATATAACAGCGATAACAATGTTCAGAGTAGGCTTATTTGTAAATAATTCCAAATTTACATCGTCAACATTACCAATTTACTTTCTATCGGTCTTGCAGCCGCTCTACATTGAATTTGTTTAATACGCATTCCCTAGCAACAAATAGTACTTATAAAATTTCTGTGTGTCTCTTTATTGAATAGCGTAAATTTACAAAGTAGCATGAGAGAAAGAAAAAATAGTTTAAAGATATTGAATGTAAGAAAAGATTTCAGTCTCTTGAGGAAATAATGCAAAAATTATCGCTCATGATTTTACTGAATTGCTATGGAACTACTTTTAGGCGGAAATAACCTTTGTTCGGAATATTTTTGGAATTCACATGATACGTTCGTAATCCTCTATATTTATCATTTATCATCGAAAATGAAAACAATATGGCGGGTAATATTGAAAGTCCTCTCTTAATCAGAAATGAAAATGGATTTTCACCCTCAGGTATTTATTTTTAATGTTCATGTCTCCTTTTAACACTTAAAGTTGACTTTTTATTCTGGCTGATGACATCGCTTATTAATAACTGTATTAAAAAAAACCAAAACAAGTGCTGTGAGTGTGAGTGAGATTCTGAGTAGATAACAAGGGTTAAATTAGTCCATATGAACTAGTGGTAAATAAAAACCTGACAAGTCGAAAAATACAACCCCACGATCAAAAGAAATAGACAAACAGCCAGTCAACTGTCAACAAAATACTAATCAATAAACTAAAAATTAAGCATCAAAGCAATATAAACTTGTGGGATAATCTGCGATTTTCTGATTTTGAGGGTACCACGATTCCCTGAGAACTCCCAAAAACTTGACATTGACCTGAGAAACGATAGATATTGCTATGCAGTATTTAACAATACCACATTATTAATTTTGTACTGGTGTAAATAGCCATAATTTTCACTATAAACAAATACATCATTAGATCTGGAATATATATGCTTTTCTTTCTAGCTGACTACTACACATGGGGCGTCAATAGTCTATTTGCCAATTACCAATGTGATTCTATTATAACACATGCAAAGCATGATAAGGTAAAAGGGATTTATTGACCTTTTGAACCATTTTAACAAAAAAAATAACTATTCTTATCAAAAGTTTTTAGCTCAACAAAAGATGTCAAGTAATTAAAAGATCTGAAAAAAACACATAAAGCACAGATACAATTACTCTTTTTGCGCATGCTCTTCATTGTTACTAAAAAGTATGTCCCTTCTAAGGGAAACAAATGGTTCTTTGATAACAGGATTAAATCGCCAATTGGCAAATAGACTATTTAGATATTAATGATATTATTAATTAAGGCTATCAATGTCTATTTCAGATGAAGACCATTACGATGTTCCATCAAACAGAGTACACAGTAATGGTGAGACTATTTATGATGTAAACAATGGTTTTGGATCTACCCATCAGATTATGGAGGGCCAGGGCACTCCATACCATGCTATCAGCAGACGACATAAACAGTATAAAACTTGGGAACTGAATTACCAAGAGGCAGCTATTTATCTGCAGGAAGGGGAAAACAATGATAAATACAGTACACATCCCAGAGACTTTAATGCTTTGCCAGCCTATAAAATTGCTCACAAGAAAATTTTCTATGCTTTAGACTTATTTGCAGCACTGCTGGTGATGGGATTAGCTGCCTGTGAACGACCAGCAGTACCATTTCTAACTCTACCTGTAGGGGTAAGTAATAATTTTAATTGTTGCCTGTGAAAGACCAGCAGTACCATTTTTAACTCTACCTGTAGGGCTAAGTAATCAAGTAATTGTTAATGTCTCTTTCCTGTAGGGGTAAGTTAATCATGTAATTGTTAATGTCTATCAATATACCTGGTATATTGGGCAAGAATTTTCCACAATCAAAGCAACAGACTTCTACTGAACCTTCTATTTATAAACAAAAAATCAACCAATCTAAAGTAGTCACTACCATGACTACTAAACATAATCCATATTGGGTAAATGTATAGGGGTAGGGTTGAGTTCTCACAAAACATGTTTAATCCTGCAACATTTTTGCGCCTGTCCCAAGTCAAGAACCTCTAGCCTTTAATTTGTTAGTCTTGTGTGTTTTTTTCTAATTTTGGTTCATTTGTCCGATTCAGAGTTTAGTGTGGTATCCATTTTACTGAACTAGTATACATTTATTCATTTCAGATTTAGAAGGTCCTTTTTTAGGTCTGCTTGTCTTATAAACATGATAAATTTAATATAAATATACTTAATATTTCAGATAATGAGCCCCTTATATTTTATATTTGACTTGCACTTACATGTAACTGAGGTTTTTACCTAATAGTATTAGTTCCAGAGAAATATCTTTACACAATTCAATCCTATCTGTGAATTCATAAATTATTGCAAGGTTTTTATTAATGCAAAAAATTATGCAGTTAATTTGCATTAATAAAAACTCACATTCGTATTTTCAGTAGTGGTTTTCCTTCATGAAATTTTAGCAATCACATTAATTATATTTCACATTTTTTGCAGTAGTCGCAGATTGGCAAAGATAAACATGATAAATGGACACATTTATTTCTGAATATATAGTATTTGGTTTTAAATGTAAATTATATCGAAAAAGAACAGTGAAATATGTAGACTTGTTAGAAGTTTGTATGTATAATTTGCAGATCTAACAAAATCTTTTTATAAGGATAGCAAATGAAAATCAAGTCTTTTCCAAAAGATAGTAAAATACAATATCATTTACATTGTATGTCTTGTAAAAATGCAGATTGCTTTTTCTGTAAGTGAATTAAATCATTTATTTAAGTGTTCTCAGTTTATGAAATATTTTCGTGCAATGATGATGGCTCCTAGAAAACATACAATAAAGATAAGAATAAAATATTTTCTTGTATTACATGTATTATACAGGTTCATGGATCACTGGAATTGTTTGGACTTTTGATATTAGCGTTAGAATTAGGAATACGGATGAAGTGGTTAGGATTCAGAACATTCATCAAACATAAAAGAACTCTTATAAAGGTACTTATATTTATTAATGATTTATAGTGTATCAATAGCAATAATGATTTACAGACTAACAAGTAATTTGTATGCCCCCGCCGCTGCGGAGGGGGGCATTAAGTGTTACTCTTGTCCATCTGTATGTCTCAAAATTAGTTTCTATTCTTTAACTTTAGTTTGCCTCAACCAAATGTTAAAAAACTTATACACAATGCTTATTACCACAAAACACAGATCAAGTTCGAATTTGGGTTGCGTCACATACCATTCTTGAGTTGTGTCCCTTTATAACATTATATGCAAGCAGGGGGCATCATCTTTGTCTCATGGACACATTCTCCATTTATTTTTATTAATGTTTAATAATGATACAGATATTTATGAATATATAGTTCATGATTTTGTTGTTTACCATCATGATGCCAATAGTAAAATACTGTGGAAACCAATTCTTGTGGATAAAGGAAAAATTGTAATTTTGTGGATTATTTATTTTATTGATTTGCTAAAGTCTGCATACAAGCCTACAGACAATCTGTACTTAATTTAAAAGCATTTAAATTCGTGGTTAACCAATACTCATAAAATCCATGAAAATTTGTATCCCCAGAATGATAATGAAGCCACAGTAGTGGAATGTAGCCTAATATTTCAAAATCTGATTTTCAGTTAAGGCATTGTTAAGCATTTTACCTCATGTTTAATCAAACTCTTTGATCTTGTATCAACAGTTTCAGTTCTGAAATTTTCTATACATCTCATAGTTGTTAAAATAAAATATCACAGTTCTCCTTGTTAATGTGACCAATTGTAAAGGATCTTTTTTGTTTACAACAGTTGCTGGAGCATTTTATTATGATAGAAATTTTCCATATAAAATGCAAATTTTATGAAAAATTGATTGTAATTGTTATTTTTCAGAGCTGTACCTTGATCATCGTATTCATAGAGACTATAGTTGTGATTATACGACAGCATAACCATTTTAGAGTCACAAGATCACTGAGGCCATTGTTTCTAATAGATACATATTACTGCAGGGGGGTCAGAAGGTATGTTTGATAATTTTTTTAATTTTACCAAATTGTTTAGGCCATTGTTTCTATTAGAGAAGTCGGAAAGTATGTACGACAATATATTGAAATTTACCAAATCTCTGAGGCCATTGTTTCTAATAGAGGAGTCAGAAAGTATGTACAACAATATATTGAAAGTTACCAAATCTCTGAGGCCATTGTTTCTAATAGAGGAGTCAGAAAGTATGTACGACAATATATTGAAAGTTACCAAATCTCTGAGGCCATTGTTTCTAATAGAGGGGTCAGAAAGTATGTAGGACAATATGTTGAAAGTTGCCAAATTGCTGAGCCATTGTTTCTAATAGAGAGGTCAGAAAGTATATAGGACAATATGTTAAAAGTTACCAAATCGCTGAGGCCATTGTTTCTAATAGACGGGCCAGAAAGTATGTAGGTCAATGTTGAAAGTTGCCAAATCGCTGAGCCAATGTTTCTAATATATACATACTACTGTAGAGGTGTCTGAAGGAATGTATGACAATATGTCAGATTTTACCAAATCGCTGATGCTATTTTTATATGATCGCAAAATTTTTGTGTTCATATAACACTGTATAATGTTATCATGTTGTCAGCGTCTTCGTCGTCCGAAGACATTTGCTTTCCAGGCAATAACTTGATTATAAGTGTATGGATCTCTATGAAATTGAACTACAAGGTTCCATACCACAAGGTTGGGATTGATTTTGGGGGTTATTGTTCTAGTTTAGGAATTAGGGGCCAAAAACAAGCATTTTGCTTGTTTTAGGACAATAACTTGTGTATAAGTGTATGGATCTCTATAAAATTGTACCACAAGGTTCCATGCCTCTAAAGGAAGGATGGGATTGGATTTTGGGGGTTATGGCCCTAAATGTTTGGGAAAAAGGGGCCAAAACCATTACTATTTTAATACCTTATATAAATTGCTTATTTCTTAAGAAATTTCAATGGGGTTTAATTCAGTCTTCAATTCTTGGGGTTCTTTATTATGCTGAATCTAACTGTGTATTTTGATTTTGGATTTTGAACCCAGTCTTTAAATTGGTCCACATTGATTTCCAAAGGTTCCAAAATTAAACTTTGTTTGATTTCAACAAAAATTGAATTCTTGGGGTTCTTTGATATGCTGAATCTAACCGTGTAATTTAGATTTTGTATTTTGGGCCCGGTTTTAAAATTGGTCCACATTAGGGTCCAAAGGGTCCAAAATTAAACTTTGTTTGATTTCATCAAAAAATGAATTCTTAGGGTCCAAAGGGTCCAAAATTAAACTGAATTCAAGGGGTTTTTGATCATATGCTGAATCTAACTATGTATTTAGATTTTGGATATTGGACCATAATAGGTAAAATCCAATTTCAAAATTTTCAGTTCTTTGACCACATTCATGCTGTGACAGAAACCTATGCTGTGTCCAGGGTTCGACCTCTGCGGTCGTATCTAGCTGCCCCACGGAGCATTTTATTTCCAATTATAGCATGCATAGAAAAGAAGTTATGGGGAACTATTGGAATTCACCGGCTTCTACCTCCTAGCCATTCCTAAAAATATAATAACCATACTGCAGTATAATATTGTGTGCTGAGGCATATTGGAGAGACCTACCACTTGCTATAAGATGATGGTCACATTACCTATGTTTCATGGTTCATTGGCTTTGCCACAGGATATAAAATTCATAAAGTTTAACATCAGTTAGAGTTTAGTACATAGACTTACAATCTTAAATCTTGGTTACAGAATTTATGATTTCACAGCTGCAAACATAACTTTGAAGCGGAAATTTTTTAGAATAAGAATTAAGTAGAGTTTACTAGTCCTACTACCTATTTAATTATTTTAAAGATTTTACATCTGCTTCAAGTGTTTTAAGATTTATGCAACAATATACCCCATCAAGAAGCACTTGAGAACTTGAAATGATTTAGTTTCTCATGAGTAACAGGAAGCATCTTGTTACTTAAGGAAGTTGATTGAATTTTAACTATTTTAAAATGATGTAATAGCTAAGTGTTTAAAAAATTCATTTCATGGATTTTCATTTCACATTTACAGTCTAAGGCTGTTATTATTTAATATTTTATTAAAACCCATGCATGGCCAAAAGGGCCTGTATGAGCTATTATCATCAGTTGGTGTCTGTTGTCTGTCTGCTGATAACTTTTTCTTAGTTTACATGTATTAATTTGTGATTAGGTCAGTTTAAGGGGAACCATTAGTGGTAGGTCAATGATATTTAGTATGCAGTTGTATAATCATTTGACACATCTCATTACCATGGATATTGTTTGGCTCCTACCTTCAGTCAGGGTTCATTGACTTTGAATGTTTTGCATTATTTACATGTTAGTGTTTGATATTAGATCAGTTTAAGGTGACAATGATATTGAGTATACAGTTGTATTGGCATTTGAAAGTCTCATTTCCATGGAGATGATATGGTCCAACCTCATAATCATGGTTCATTGACTTTGAAAATTTTACATAGTTTACAAGTTAAAGTTCATGTTTAGGTTAGTTCTAAGGAAACCACTTAATATGATAAGTCAATGGTATTTGGTACGCAGTTTTACATTGGCATTTCACATTTCCATGGACGTTATTTGGCCCTGCACTTTCAGTCACGATTCATTGAATTTGAATGATTTGCATAGTTACATGTTTAAATATTGCCATTTTAATCAATATTTGCATTAAACCATCAAAATTACAAAACGAGAGACATATCTCTGTGTCAACAGTTTATTACCTATACATGCTATTATCTTGAAAACTACAATAGATAGACAAAAAAGCTCAGTCAGACAAGATTTTGTCACCCACAGTTACTATTTAATACAAATATTCTTGTAACATTGTATTAATCTTATGCAGAAAAGCCAGGTGAGCAATAAAGGCTCCTTGGAGCCTCTTGCTGTAAATTCAAGAAAATTTTAACTAATTTTTTCAGTCTTTAACACCTGTTTTAACTTTTTGTCATGTTTAGATTCCACACTTAATATCTGTAACTATATATTTCGTTTGCAGAACATTCCGACAGATTTTACAGTCCATGCCACCTATTATAGACATGCTGTTGTTGTTACTGTTTTTCATGTTGATATTTTCTATATTAGGTAAGCCTTTTGAACCCAATTTGATTTAATGTCTTATTGAAATTGAAAATTTTTATCTGATTAAAATAAAGAAGTAAGAGGGTAGTACAGAAGCAAAAACAACATAATAACAATGAACAAACAAATTGATATTAAATTGAGGAGATGTGGTATGACGACCAATGAAACAACTTTCAAGCAGAGACCGAATGACGTAATAGAAGCAGCAAATGTGTACATAGGTCAAATTTAGACAAGAAAATTCAATGCATATGTGGTATATTCTTAAAAAAAAACCAGAAACATTTCCAATTTTCAGTTAATTTTCATAAATAATTTCATAATTCTTGCATGAACATTTTATAACTGGGATGTTTATGAATCAAATATTAAAATATTGAGGTGCTTGGAGTGTGTGAGGTGATGGTTTAGGATGATCCGATGGCAGCAAGAAATAAATGAAATTTAGTTTACAGCTATATTGTACTATGTATCGACTATGGAATCAGTCAAAACACTTTCAGAAAAATTTACTTTAAACACATCATTACACGTCTTAAAAAAGTTCAATCTTACATATTGCTATTTACATTAGAGAATAAATGGAGACCATTGATATGAAACAAACAAAATATTAATTATTCATCAAGTAATGATATGAAAATTAATGTTAATGTTAATATTTTATACATGTGGTTTAATTGTAGGGTTTTATTTATTTTCTGGGATTCATGGGGATGCAGTAAGTATGAATATAATGTTATTTATAGGTATTTAAGTATTTCTGTTCGTTTTAATTGTATAGACTATAAACTTTTGTTTAAAGTTTATGAGTAATTCATTAAAAATACATGTTATTACACATAAGCAGGGCTTTATATCTACAAGTTAAACACAAAATATCAATTTGAAAATAATTACTTGTCCATGCTATTTGCACTCAATTATAATCTACCTAACCAAAACTTGTATGTTACCACATAATTTCGGAAGACCTTATCGCTATATGTCCTTCATAACTGGACATTACAGCCATTCCCTAACATTTTGACATCACAGGAGACAATGATTGCATGGCGCCTCAAAAGTAAAGTGATTGTTGTTTGATGTCAATAGTTCAAAAAGTGTCTCAAATTCTTGTATTAAGTGTCTCAAATTCTCGTATCAAGTGTTTCAAATTCTTGTATCAAGTGTCTCAAACTCTCGTATCAAGTGTCACAGATTCCCAAATAGCAATAAGAAGTGATTGTTGTATGATGTCAATAATTCAAATAGTGCCGCAATAATGTTTTTTGTCAAGCCTGAGACTTTTGTCGCAAAAGCGAGACATAGCGATCCTACATTCCGTCATCGTCGGCGGCGTCCACAAAAATTCACTCTGTGATTTTTTGCGACTAACAATAAAAAGTAGGCGAGACACTGGGTTCTGCAGATACCTTACGAATTTTTGAATTTCAGAAAGGGAATACATGCATTTAATTCAAACTTCAGATTTTAGTGAAATTAAGACTCAATTCATCTTAGAATTTGTCCAAAAATTTATTTTCTATTTATTTGGATTTAACAGAACATTACACTTAGAAAATTCTTGCAAGTATAATATAAAATGTTTATAATTGCAATAATTGGTATATTTTCCAAAATTTCAATGAATCTTGTCACACATAGAATATATGAAATTTAATATCTTAAAAATACATGAAAAGCAATATTCTATAAGCCAAAACTTAATTTAGTTCCCTTTTTGAAGATTTAATTCTTTTTAAATAACAAAACTGTTTATATTTCAGTATTTTGCCACACTGCAAGACAGTTTTATTAGTCTGTTTGTTCTTTTGACTACTGCAAAGTAAGTTCGTAAAAATAGAACAAGTATGGAGCTCAAATTCAAACTGTTTTGAACCGTTTAATATTTAGTAGTCATATGAAAATTACATTTAAAAAAGTGCATTACAAGACACCTTCACTTTAGTATCAAGAAAAGTTCAAAAAAATGTTCTATAAAAAAAAAAAACGGTATGATCACACAATATATATTATACTATTATACAATAAGTGGAAACTTGTAATTTTTAAAAGTTTTATTTCATTATATTTGTACAGGAAAACTAAGTTTATAAGTGTTCTTGATGGTTGGATCACCATTGTTTTATTTTCCACTTGTGTCAGACACATTGTCTGATCGCACATTCTCATGTTATTATTTTCCAAACTCAAGGGTTAAAAACTGTGAACTTGAATAATTATGTTATTCAAACATCAAACCTAAGGTATTTTTATATGACCGCAAAAATTAAAAATTTTTTGGTCGTATATTGGTATGACGTTGGCGTCGTCGTCGTCGTCTGGCGTCGTCCGAAGACACATTGGTTTTCGCACTCTAACTTTAGTTTAAGTGAATGGATCTCCATGAAATTTTACCATGAGGTTCAATACCACGAAAGGAAGGTTGGGATTGATTTTGGGGGTTATGATACCAACAGTTAAGGAATTAGGGGCCAAAAAGGGGCCAAAAATAAGCATTTTTGTAACTTCCAGACAATAACTTGTGTGTAAGTGTATGGATCTCTCTGACATTGTACCACAAGGTTCCATATCACAAAGGGAAGGCTGTAATTGATTTTGGGGGTAATTGCCTCAAAATTTTAGGAATTAGGGGCCAAAAAAGGGGCAAAAAACAAGCATTTTTCTAGTTTCATGACAATAACTTGTGTGTAAGTGTTTGGATATTTCTGAAATTGTACTACAAGGTTCCATATCACAAAGGGAAAGCTGGAATTGAGTTTAGGGGTAATTGCCCGAAACGTTTAGGAATTGGGGGCCAAAAAGGGGCCAAAAGTAAGCATTTTTCTAGTTTCCAGACAATAACTTGTGTTCAAGTGTATGGATCTCTCTGAAATTGTACTGCAAGGTACCATACCACAAAGGGAAGGCTGGGATTGAGTTTGGGGGTGATGAATCATAAGGGGGTTCAAAAAATTTGGGGGGGGGGGGATTTTTTTTTTCTTTTAAAATTTTCCATTTTAAGTTGGTTATTTCTGATTAATATTTAAAAGTAAATAATAATGATATGGTAGGAGATACACACCAAACAGGATGTGTAAATTATTACATAATAAGTATTGTGCAATAGCAAGAAATTTTCAATTGCACAGTATTGCACAATAGCAAGAAATCTTCAATTGCACAGTATTGCGCAATAGCAAGAAATCTTCAATTGCACAGTATTGCACAATAGCAAGAAATATCCAATAGCACTATATTGCGCAATAGCAAGAAATTGTCAATTGTACAGTATTGCGCAATAGCAAGAAATATTCAATTGCACAGTATTGTGCAAAAGAAGATACTTCGTATAAATTGCTTATTTCTTGATCAATTTCAATGGGGTTTTATTCTTGAATTCTTGGGGTTCTTTAATATGCTGAATCTAATCATGTATTAAGTTTTTGGATTTTGGGCCCCGTTTTTAAATTGGTCCACATTGAGGTCCAAAGGGTCCAAAATTTACTTTTGTTTGATTTCATCAAAATTGAATTATTGGGGTTCTTTGATATGCCGAATCTAACCGTGTATTTAGATTCTTAATTTTTGGTTCCGTTTTCAAATTGGTCTACATTAAGGTCCAAAGGGTCCAAAATTAAACTTAGTTTGATTTTAACAAAAATTGAATTTTTAGGGTTCTTTGATATGCTGAATCTAAACATGTATTTAGATTTTTGATTATGCGCCCAGTTTTCAAGTTGGTCCAAATCGGGGTCCAAAATTAAACTTTGTTTGATTTCAATAAAAATTGAATATATGGGGTTCTTCGATATGCTGAATCTAACCATGTATTTAGATTTTTGATTTTTGTGCCCCGTTATCAACTTTGTCCACATTGAGGTCAAAAGGGTCCAAAATTAAACTTTGTTTGATTTCATCAAAAATTGAATTCTTGGGGTTCTTTGATATGCTGAATCTAACCATGTATTTAGATTTTGGATATTGGACCATAATAGGTGAATGTCCAATTTAAAATTTTTAAGTTCTTAGACCACATTCATTCTGTGTCAGAAACCTATGCTGTGTCAAATATTTAATCACAATCCAAATTCAGAGCTGTATCAAGCTTGAATGTTGTGTCCATACTTGCCCCAACTGTTCAGGGTTCGACCTCTGCGGTCGTATCAAGCTGCGCCCTGCGGAGCATTTTATTTATTTATAAAATACCCCTATTTTAGGAGTGGGGGCTTTTATTGTATTCACCTTGTCAGCCTGTTTGTCCATTTGTCCTAACACTTATCTCAGATACTACTGAACAGAATGACTGCATATTAGATGAGTAGCTTGATGATGATGAGTTGTAACGTTTGGATCTGTCAGACACCTACCTTCTTTTTTTTCAATACTTTGAATTATGAGTGGGGTTAGCTTAGCACAATAAGGTGTAAAGTCTTGTTTTCAATTTTTTTTAATGAATACAGCTTTTTTGTCATCTTTATACCACTGTGGAATCATTTATTTTCATGGTTATCAATTTTCATGGATTTATGAAACATTGTATTTTTGTTTATATTTGATTTCGTTGTTTTGCCTAAGTCTGCATTCAAGTCTATCGAAAATTTGTACATCCTTGAACTCACAAATTTGGTTCATCTATATTTGGAAATCCAAGACAATTGATTACCCATGATAAATAATTAATCCCCAGTATTTATATTTTATTTTTCTTCAGTTATCCAGATGTAATGATGCCAGCTTATGCCAGTTCACGATACTACAGTATTTTCTACATTATTTACCTGTCTCTAGAACTTTATTTTATAATGAATCTGGTTAGTAATATTAAAGTGCATTAAATTTACACAACCTTTTTATTATACGTGGTTTTACATATTGCCACTAGAGGGCTTTTCTATTATAATGGATGTTGGAGGGTAAAGGGATTTAAAAATTCCACCCACAACCAAGTTACTTTGTATTAAGTAATTATCCATACATCGAAAGGACACAGAACCATAAATAACCTTCAACCGATGTCCAAAAATAAAACATTCCCTTGCAACCTCCCCTTATTCAATTTAATCACATTAATGGAATAGCTCTGTGATATATCTTCAAATATCAATGACCAAAAAGAAAAAAAACCATTAATATTGAAAATACAAAAGAGTGTTTTATAAGAAGAAGATCAATAGTATATGATTACAACAATAAAAAAGTAAGTAGATGACAAAAGAAATATCTGTTAGAATTTAAAACAAATCTCTCACCTGCTTTAATAAACATAAATTTCTATTCTGTATTAAATGCTGTATTTTAAATTTTTTTGGAGAAAAGAGTTTATCCAACCACATTTTGTATGAAGAAATATAGAATAGTAACTGAATTATTAAGCTACTAAAAAAAAAATCAGTTATATAAGTGCTTTTTATGGTTTAATATGTCATGTTTTGAACTTACAAGCTTTTATATTTTCTTATGGAAAAAAAAGGAAAAGTGAAAGAAAAAAAGGAGATTGATTAGAAATAATTTACACATTTCTATAAAAGTATATTTTACATTTATTTTTGTTTTTTAGTTTCTCGCCGTAGTTTATGATACATTTTCAAATTTGGAAAAGACAAAAGTAAAGAAATTATTTTTCCACAAGAGACTTGGCTGTCAACACGCCTTCAGATTGCTGGTAACTAAGGAGGTAAGTCCTGGTTTGGCCTCGAAAGGCAAGTGGTCTAAGTAGCCTGTCAACACTAAGTTTGTGAGTTTTGAACCCCACATGTTGCAAATGTGTTTTACTAAATCTTAATTGACTAGGATTGTTTGTTTTTCTATCTAAATTAATGGTTCTCTCATGCTTCTTCCACCATACAAAACTGGCAGTCATCATATAATAAAGAGTGCTAAAAGTGGCATTAAACACAAAAAATCAATCAATCAATCTAAAAGTCTTACTCCCTGCAATGTTTGTGACTGGGGAATATAGGTTTATTTTCATCTGTTTGTTTGTTCATACATCAATTTGTTATCTAGTCATGTTGTGCTAAAAATTGAAATCCGTTGAAATATTTCTTACTGGGCTAATTGATTGTCAGTCATTGCAATTAGTGGGACAAAATGAAAATGACAGATGACCACTTTTTAGTCTGTATGTCTGTACTTCATTGTAAGGACAATCATTAATTAATCTATTGGGATCCATTATTATTCGTGGGAAACCAATTTTTGTGGATTTCCTGGGCATAGGTTAACAGCCAATTTAATTTTTCCAACAAAGTACAGATTTGCTGTAGGCTTGTATGCAAACTTTTGCAAAACCATGAAATCAATAATCCACGAAAATTGGTACCAAAATAAATTTATCTAGGCAGCTTTATAGCAAAAATTTAACCATATGTTTCTGCAGAATAATAGTGAAGAGAATTGATATATACAATATATGCATAATATCCAGAAAAGATATGTTGTAAAGAATACTGACCATAATACTGATGTATTTTTCTGTTGTAGGATAACAAGTCTATAAAATTGAAACATTTTCTTGGCATGATGAAACATCTTAGACCACAGAAAAGTAAGTCAAATACAAAGAAAATTTGGATATTTTATAATAGAAACTTAATACCTAGAATATTATAGTGCATAGGATTGTTTATTTTAATCACTGAAAAAAAAACTGATTTTTTACGGAGATGAAATAACTGAATGTCAGGTTGTTGATTTTTCTTCTGAATTGTTTCACATTTTGCCATCCTGGTTTCTATAAGCAATGGGTTCTACTCATTATTGATGGCTATCAGGATGACCTGTAGTTGTTCATATCATTGTTATTTTGTCTTTGGTGGATAGTTGTCTCATTGGTAGTCATACCACATCTCCTGATTTTTGTCTCACCTGCAAAGAAATGTCCTTGCAATGTCTTTATGTCAGTCTAACAGGATTCACCTAACCTTGACTTCATTTCATGATTCAAGGATCATGGTTAAGTTTGCACTCTAAAGATTAATTCTCAGATATTATAAGCAAAAGGACAACTTTATTTGATGTATGGAATAATTGTAAGGTCTGGGCTACTGGTCCCCTGCTAAACTTTTCTCTTGTATTGACAGGTAGAAGAGATGGTTATTTAGTTTTTAAGATGTTAAACATGGGCACATCAGGAAAATTAACTTTGGAAGAATTTCACAAGATATATGAAGCTATAGACTTGCAGTGGATGGTAAGTATGATAGTTTATATACTTTATTGCTGATATACTACTATTGATTATTCTAATGCAATTATTTTGTATCAATGGTTTTGATTGGATGACAATAAGCGTAAAATTCTCTATCTCCCTGTCTGTAACTAACGAAGCCAAAATTTTGAATTCTCGAATGTATTGACATGTAATTTCTCCAATAAAACGCCAAAAAAACTCACATTTTGCACCTAGAAATCTTCTTTTTTTAACATTTTGAGGCGGACAAGATACCAGAAAACGCCTGGTGTTTACATTTGACGCTGGAAGCATACCTATGACGAAATCTAGTTCAGGCGCCAAAGAAGATAACATCATTTCGCAGAATTTTCGTATAATGAAAATTTTACAATGAAATAATGACTAAAATTGAATGAGTTGTTTATTTTGCATTAGAATAGAGATAAATGTATTGTATTTGAAGCTTTGTGGACGTCCATCGGTAGTTTCACTGTCGCAAATATCCGTTTACCTGTCTCTGCTATGTGTCACCAGGTAAACTCAATTTGCCACAGTAAAACTACCGAAGGATGTCCGCAAAGCTTCAAATACAATACAGTTATCTCTTAATTTATCTTCGTGGATTGAGGAAATTTTGAATTTATTTGATATCTCAATAAGTTGTTTTGCCAAAGTCTGTATACAAGCCTATAGAAAATTTGTACTTAGTTGAACAGTTGAATTCATGTTTAACCTTTATCCATGAAATCCATGAAAATTGGTATGCTACAAATAATAATAAATACACAGTACTTTCTTTTATACATAAAAGCTTGTCTAATAATGAAAATGTACACCGAAATTATTAAAGGTAAACTTCAATGATATGGCAACCAAAACCAATTGTTTAATTTAATCTGAAAACTATGTTTGAAAATGAAAGTAGAAAATATAATGCTATCTAAATGAGTAAATATAGGAAGAGTACAATATTTTGCTATGTTTTAAAAACAGATTATGGCACATTCAGTTGTGCATGGAAGCTGAAAAATCTATCAATCTGAATAGAATAAAAACCTGTAAAAAGTATTTAAGTGATTGTTTGAATTGTGAAACTCATAAATTGTTTTGCAAAATAAAAATTTTCATCAGCAAGTTTTATCAGTATTTACTTGAAGATTTAGTGCAATTGTTGTGTTAAAGTTACTTTTGTTAAATGTTCTTACATTATGAACACTATGAAAAAAATAATTATCATATGTTCTTAATTACCAGGAAGTTACTGAAGGTCTTCACTCTCTCCCTTTAAAACAAAAAGTATGACATTAGAAATATGAAGCTTTGAATGTGTATTCTCTATTTCAGTTAAAATCTGATGAAAATATTATCTGGTCATCACATTTCAAATATCCTTTCAACAGAATTTTTAGATGTAAGTAATTTTGTGTGTGTGTGTAATAACCCTGTTTGAGCTCAACAGATCTAGATAATTGCAAAGTATTATAAAGTACTTTCTTTGGCTGACAGCATTTTTATAATGGAATATCTTTACAAACATATTAAACAAATGTCATTGTTTTATTTTAATAAACATACTACACATTATTTTTATATGCCCGTTTACGGGACGTATTATGGTATACCGTCTGTCCGTCCGTCCGTCTGTCCATCGTCAACATGTCGGACATTAACTCAAAAATGCTTTAACCAATTTGCATAAAACTTTGGTGAATTGTTTATATCTATTGACGTGAGCTCCCTTTCGTTTTTTATAAAATTTAGATTTTACGTTTCTGAGTTATGGGGTTTTATTCATTAAAAAAAGGGGGATTTTCCAGTTTTCTGACAATAAGTCAAGAATGCTTTCACCAACTTGCAAGAAATTGTGGTGAATTGTTTATATCTATTGACATGAGCTCCCTTTCGATTTTTATAAATTTTAGATTTTATTTTATTTTAATAAACATACTACACATTGTTTTATTTTTATAAACATACTACACATTGTTTTATTTTTATAAACATACTACATATTGTTTTATTTTTATAAACATACTACACATTGTTTTATTTTTATAAACATACTACACATTGTTTTATTTTTATAAACATACTTCACATTTTTTTATTTTAATAAACATACTACACATTTTTTTATTTTTCATAAACATACTACACATTGTTTTATTTTTATAAACATACTACACATTGTTTTATTTTTATAAACATACTACATATTGTTTTATTTTTATAAACATACTTCACATTTTTTTATTTTAATAAACATACTACACATTTTTTTATTTTTCATAAACATACTACACATTGTTTTATTTTTATAAACATACTACACATTGTTTTATTTTTATAAACATACTACACATTGTTTTATTTTTATAAACATACTACATATTGTTTTATTTTTATAAACATACTTCACATTTTTTTATTTTAATAAACATACTACACATTTTTTTATTTTTCATAAACATACTACACATTGTTTTATTTTTATAAACATATTACACATTGTTTTATTTTTATAAACATACTATTTATAGACCAGTTATTTCCTAATGTAAAATGACGACAATATACGGATATCTACATGTACGAACAAACTAGTAAATGTCTCATGTCATATACCACAATAATAGAACTGGATACATGTATTAAGAAAGCCAATCTTTGGAACTTACCAACCTATTACTACATGTATTTCTTGCACAACTTAAAGACCAACAACATTGTGACCTGAGCAAACTATACCAACTTATAAGTCCTATACTGTAGTATTAAATAAACTATTGCCAAGTTTGAACTGATGCTGCTTCTAAGAACATGTATACGAGATTCTATTCATTTTTTGCTGTCTCACGGATTTATACCAGCACCTCTATCATACTTTGAATCTATATATGTTAACAACAATAGGATAAAAGAAACATTTTATTACGAACTACGCATTCTAATCTAACAACATATATACATATTTACATAAACAAATTTCAACTTGGAAAAACTGGGGACTAACAGCTGTTTGACACTTTAGAAATTAAAATTGAGTTATCCCCCTTTTCATATAAATATAAAAATTAAAACTTGGGGGATAAGATACAAAGGCTAATGTGTAGAATTTGTATCGAATTGGCATACCAAAGTATAATTTAACTGAATAAACATATGATTTAGTATTGGTAAGCACAAAATTTAATGATGCAAAAATTTAAGATCAATACAATATATACGTCAGCATACGTAAAAGCAAATGAATAATTCATAAGTCAGCATGGTAAAAATTTATACATAAGCATATGGATAAATAGTGAAAACAAAAGAAATTCCATACGTCAGCATGGATAGTAAAAGGCAAGTAGACCATACGTAGGCATGGATAATAAAGCAACAAAAAAAAATTCCATACGTAAGCATGGAAAGTATTTAGACAAAGAATTTCCATACGTCAGTATGGATAGTAAAAGGCACAGTAGACCATTTGTTAGCATGGATAATAAAATACTGAGATAGTTCACACGTTAGTATGAATATAAGATGACAAGAAAAAGAGACATATGTCGGCATGAAAAGAAAAATCAAGTGAAACCCATACGTCAGCATGGATAGTAAAAGACAAGAAGAATCCATACGTCAGCATGGATAGTAAAATATAAGAGATCCATGTGTCAGCATGGATAGTGGAAGCAGGTTGAAACCATACGTCAGCATGGATTGAAAAAACAAGTAAAACCCATATGTCAGCATGGATAGTAAAAGGCAAGAAGAATCCATACGTCAGCATGGATAGTAAGATATAAGAGATCCATACGTCAGCATGGATAGTAAGATAAATAGATCCATACGTCAGCATGGATAGTGGAAGCAGGTTGAAACCATACGTCAGCATGGATTGAAAAAACATGAATTCCATACGTCAGCATGGATATTAAGAACATAAATTTCATAAGTTAGCATGGACAATAAAGCATAAAAAATCTATACGTCAGCATGGATATCAAATCAACAACAGAAAAATCCAAACATTAGCATGGATAATAAAACAAAAATACACATGGGATAAGTAATAAATATAAACAACGCAAAAATGCTACTAAAAAATAATAAGAAATATATAGTGTCATGTATGTCCATAAAAATTTACTATTAGTTTCTATAAAAATTAATTGTCCCCAGAGGCACTGACAACAAAGGCGATTGTAGGGGATGGCGGTGGGTGATGAAATTCTAGATATAAATTTTCAAACGAGAACTATGCTCTGCACATGAAAGGAACAAAGAGGTTATTGAAATCTGAGACGTCTTGTACATTGTACCAAAGTGAGGCTGGAATGACCACGCGGATGAAATTCCTTAAGAGGGGCACCAGGGGGAAAAAACAGCTATAAACTATAATTATATACATAATTGCCATTTATAGACCAGTTATTTCCTAATGTAAAATGACGACAATATACGGATATCTACATGTACGAACAAACTAGTAAATGTCTCATGTCATATACCACAATAATAGAACTGGATACATGTATTAAGAAAGCCAATCTTTGGAACTTACCAACCTATTACTACATGTATTTCTTGCACAACTTAAAGACCAACAACATTGTGACCTGAGCAAACTATACCAACTTATAAGTCCTATACTGTAGTATTAAATAAACTATTGCCAAGTTTGAACTGATGCTGCTTCTAAGAACATGTATACGAGATTCTATTCATTTTTTGCTGTCTCACGGATTTATACCAGCACCTCTATCATACTTTGAATCTATATATGTTAACAACAATAGGATAAAAGAAACATTTTATTACGAACTACGCATTCTAATCTAACAACATATATACATATTTACATAAACAAATTTCAACTTGGAAAAACTGGGGACTAACAGCTGTTTGACACTTTAGAAATTAAAATTGAGTTATCCCCCTTTTCATATAAATATAAAAATTAAAACTTGGGGGATAAGATACAAAGGCTAATGTGTAGAATTTGTATCGAATTGGCCAAATACAGGTGTGAAGCAGCTGTAGCCCCCAAGTGGAATGGGGAACCTTTGTTGCCAGTACAATTTAACCTAACTTCTGTCTGTCTCTGCTAATTGTTTTTGAGCATTTTTAAGAACATTAGGAGAAGTATGAATGTATCTTGTGTAACAATTAGATGACCATCTACCAAGTGTTTGAATTAAATGATCTTCAAGACGGGCTTCTTGAGCAGATGTAGCTGCACCAATTCGAAAGGAGTGTCCATTGTAGGAGTCACTAGATAAGCCTAATTTGTCGAGTAAAATTTTGACATGTGAAATGAAAAATTTTCTGTTTAAAGGTTTCCTATCTTCAGAGATGAAAAAGGCCTCAGTATTAGAAGAGTACACAGACTGCCTCAACTGATTGTATTTCAATATGGATAAAACAGGACAAATAGAATAACCTGTTTTGTAAAGTGGAATAGTAATACCTTGTCTAAAAGGATCAGTTTTAGACTTTTTAAGAGTTACAAAAATACAGTCAGCAGTGATTTGCATATCACTACAGCATAAGTTACATTCAGGATCAAACTGATTCATTACAGTGAATTCACCACATCTTAAAAAACCAAAAAAGGCTGTTGTACAGGCAGCCTCTAACATAATACTATTGAAATTACCAAAAATACATGTATGTAGTAATTTACACATTTTTGACAAAATTGACATAGTTATAGGTAAACGTTTGCGTTTGACAGTAGACCCCTGTTTTTTCTTTAAACCAATTAAAATTGTTTTAAGACACTCAAGAGGCTTTCCAAAACTAATTAATGGATTAAAACCTCCATACTTTAAAAAATGAAACCTTATGCCACATAAATATAATTTAATTGTTAAACATACTACACATTGTTATATTTTTATAAACATACTACACATTGTTTTATTTTTATAAACATAGTACACATTGTTTTATTTTTATAAACATACTACACATTGTTTTATTTTAATAAACATACTACATATTGTTTTATTTTTTTTATACCCCTGTTAACGGGACATATTATGGTATACCGTTGACCGTCTGTCCGTCTGTCTGTCCATCCGTCGTCAACATGTCGGACATTAACTCAAAAAAGCTTTAACCAATATGCATGAAACTTTGGTGAATTGTTTATATCTATCAGATTTACCGATTCCGAGTCTTGGGGTTTTATTCATTAAAAAAGGGGGCATTTTCCAGTTTTCCGACAATAACTCAAGAATGCTTTCACCAACTTGCAAGGAATTTTGGTGAATTGTTTATATCTATTGACATGAGCTCCCTTTCGATTTTTATAAATTTTAGATTTTACGTTTCTGAGTTACAGGGTTTTATTCATAAAAAAAAGGGGGATTTTCCAGTTTTCGGACAATAACTAAAAAATGCTTTCAGCAGTTCTCATGAAACTTTGGTGAATTGTTTATATCTGTTGATGTAAGCTCCCTTTAGAATTTTATAAATTTTAGATTTACATTTCTGAGTTATGGGGTTTTATTCATTAAAAAATGGGGGATTTTCCAGTTTTTGGACAATAACTCAAAAATGCTTTCAGCAGTTCTCATGAAACTTTGGTGAATTATTTATAGCTATTGATGTAATCTCCCTATTGATTTTCATAAATTTCAAATATGACATTGAGAAGAAATTAAACTTTATTTGTTTATAGTCTGACAACAGATTTACTAAGTATTGCACAACAGCAAGAAATCTTTAAATTTTAATTGAATATAAATTCAATTCATATAACCAATTTCAATTTCTTTGACTACATTTATTCAGAAACCTATAATATGTCAAATATTTAATTACAATCCAAATTCAGACCTGTATCAAGCTTGAATATTGTGTCCATTTTTGCCCCAACTGTTCAGGGTTGGACCTCTGCGGGCGTATCCAGCTGCGCCCAGCGAAGCAGTTTATTATAAACATACTACACATTGTTTTATTTTTATAAACATACTACACATTCTTCTAATTTTAAAACACATTTTACACACATTTACAGACAAAATTTACAATCTATACCATTATGAACTATGTCAAACTACAGGTGGCTAAAGTAGTATTGTAGGGAGAAAGTACCCTAATTTATACTTAATATGAAGATTCTGAGAACACTTAGATCTAGACATATCAATGTAAAAAATTAAATAATTCAATTGAAATGTTTATTGCCATATAAACTTTAAATAATAAGGTTGTGACAAATACAAAATAAGTATACAATATAACTGACACATATATATATATACAATTATTTGATGATAGTAAATAGTCCAGAGTCCCCTGTTCTAATGACTTTTTGATGTAGGTCCCCAATTTATTTACTTGTGATGGTGTTGATGGATTGAGCATAAAAATCAAATTTTTCTTCATCAGACAAATCTTTAATAGAAAAGTTTATTCTCAAAATATTTATAAAAAAAAAGAAAAATATACAATCCTAGGAAGTGATTCCTTTTTACCTTTGATTTATAGAAATTTTTGTTTTAGTTTCAAATTTTAAAAAATCTTTTTTTAAGGTTCAGTTTAGAATTATTAAAAATAATTATTTAATATGTATTGATATATGTCTATTTATTACAGGTATACATAGTTTTGTAAAATGGAAATGGTTTAGAAGATTTATTTGTAAGTTTTCTTGTATAGAGGTGGTGGCTCCATGAAGGTTAACGACTTTTGGAGGTCTGGCAGGTGACTCTCATTTAAAAGTACATGTGACCTTTACAAATGTTCAAAACTGTTTATTTTGAATTCAAGATTTTTTATGATGCCCCTGCTGCAGCGGAGGGGGCATTGAGTGTTACCTTTGTACGTCTGTCCATAAATGCGAACATCCAAAAATTAGTTTCTGTTCTCTAACTTTAGTTTGCCTCAATCAAATGTTTTGAAACTTATACTTAATGCTTGTTACCACAAAACACAGATCAAGTTTGAATTTGGGTGGCGTCACTTTTAACGTTCTAGAGTAATGCCCCTTTACAAAATGGAAAAATTGCTGAATTTTCGTTTCTGTTCTCTAACTGAGCATTACTTCCATGTGCATTACTGACATTGTTATTCCGGCTCTTGTAGCCTAAGCTGCACTGAGTAAACAACTACTTTTCTGCTGGGATAGCTTTCCAATAGCTGCTACACCGAGTTTAACTATGTCAGTAATTTAGAAAATGCTGAGTCTGCCCCAAACCCAAATCAAGTATAAGTTTTTAGTTATTTTGTATTAAGAAGTTATGTAATATAGTATAATCTTTTTGACTAGAGTAATTTTGAGTGAATTATTGTGTATGTAAATATATTGATATTATGTTTTTAGTAATAGAAATTATTAACTACTTTAGTTTTGTCTAATTATTACATTAGGGAGCCATATAATTAGAGAATCAGAATAGTAAGTCGACATCACTTTTCTTATTACTATACTAGTGATAAGATCCATCGTCAAACTATCCATTCATGTAAATGTAGAAATTGGTATATGAGTAGCTGCACTCTTTGCAAATATGGGGTTTATGTCAATGCATACCAAGCAGAGTCTTAACAGTATTCAGTAACCGGTAATGCCTTATAAATAGTAGATTATATGGCATCATTTTTTGAGCTGTGCACACACTTTATTTATATGCACATGGTTTATTGTCAAACTCTACAGAGCTCACAATGAGAAGTTACTTGCATTACACTATGACCACTAAAACATCAGGCACATTACAACTATACATGTATGCTGATTGATCTCAGAATTATGATGCAACACAATTACTATATTGGTATTACCATTCAAGGTGGGATAAGAATACTGTTGAAGGATCAAACTTGGTTTTCTATTATTATTAAGTATTTACAAAATAAATCTCAAAATGACCGAAATTGTGTAAAAAAAATTCCGAATCTTTGGTTCCATGGACACATTCTCCATTTATTTCTTTATAAGTGACCTTGTAACCTGAGGCAATTTTTAAATGTGATGCTGTGAACTATAAAGGGTACCCTACTGTATCCCGATAGAGTTGTTTCCTTACACCTCTATTAGTTTGGGTATACTTTTCAGATATTTAAAAGAAAACTCTTTAATCGTGGACAGGTAAATTTTGACATTTCATACATCTTTATCAACTTTGATAAAGTAAAAGGGATAGTTTATGAAAAAATGTTCCATTTATAACATTGTTCAGCCCTCAATTTAGGCTATTAAAACAGTCACCTGGGCGACCTATAAAGCCTCCAGGCGACCTTAATTTCATTGTTGGTTGTCATTTGGCGACTGGTACTATTTGGACCTGGCGACCCTAAAATTCCAGATAATCTACCTGCCTCCGGTCGTTTTTTATGAAGTTTTTATTCACAGTCATACAAGCACTTCAATGTATGCTAAATCTTGAATATGATTTCACGTATTTTTAATCTTAACAGGGTCTATAAAGCACTTAACTTAACTGGGAATTCAAGCGTCTGATGAAGTGTTTTCGGGGCCAATACATCATGGCAGCCAAACAGATGTCGCTGTCCTGTTTTTTCAAAACAACGATGTTTCACCGGCTAAGAAACAAAAAGAAGGGGTGGAGAGTTCCTCTATAGAAACTCAGGCTTCTGAAGAGCCAAGTACATCTTCTAATGTAACGATTAAGCGAATAAGAAAAATATTAGAAAATTTATTGATATTCTTCATTCATGTCATTAGCTCTACTGACTAGACTTTCATAACAAATTTCTTAGGCAACCTGAAATTATTTCCTGGCCACTAAAATTTTGAATTGCCACTGAAATTTTATATCTGGTGGCCAAAAGGCAACCTTGTCTTTAAACCTACTTTGAGGGCTGTTGTTTATCCAGTAGTTAATAGAATATTAGATGTAAATTTCCATATCTGTGATCCCTTTCTAACTTTTGGTATTGATGCAAGTTATCTATTAAATAATTATGTTTTCCTGTTTTAGATTTTGCAATAGCTAGCAACTTCCTGATTATTTTGGTAGAAACTATACAGATTTCAGGTAGGTTTCATTGTTTGTTAGATAGAGTGATGGTGTGTGTGTCTGATTGACAATAAACCAACTCAAGAAGCTATTCTTTAACATGAAATGAATGTGAATGTCTTTGAAATTTGATTTAAAAGATATTGATCTATTCAAACCATAAAAATTATTTAAGAAAGGAATCCTTTGTTTCTCTCTTCATAAATGTACTGTGTAGTAATTAACTTTAAAAGGCACTGGCATGACAAAATGGGAAACGATTTAATATAAAAAATTCGTAAGGGTTCTCCGGAACCCAGTGTCTCGCCTACTTTTGCTGCTAGTCGCAGGCTCAACAAAAATGGGGAAATAATTATTAAAACTTTTTCCTCTAGATACTATCTTTTGAATGTAAGAAGCTTCTGTTCAAGTTTTGGTAAGAATCCAGGATGGTTTATGAATCTAATAAATGTTTTAAAAACTTTAACTGCAGACTGTATTTAATGTTAACTGGAAGAAAAACTAAGTCCATTTATAAGTAATATATGGAAAAACAGGAAATTTTATTTTACAAAATTTCCTTCTAGATACTATCTTTTGATCATAAACAAGCTTCTGTCCAAGTTTGGTACAAATCCAGGACAGTTGAAGAAAGCTATTAAAATTTGGAAAACTTTAACCACAGAGTGAATGTAATGTTAACTGGCAGAAAAACTAAGTCCATATATGAGTAAAATACGGATAAACGGGATTTTTTTTTTTACAAAATTTACTTCTGGATACTATCTTATGATCATAAACAAGCTTCTGTCCAAGTTTGGTAGAAATCCAGGATAGTTTAAGAAAGTTATTAAAATTTGAATAACTTTAACCACAGAGCGAATATTTGTGGATGCCGACGACGGAATGTAGGATCGCTATGTCTCGCTTTTGCAGGCTCGAAAAAAATCAAAGAAAGAAAAATGGTCAGGTATGACAAAATATGAAACCATTCAAACAATAAAACCGATTGCCTGATTTATGCTAAAAAAATACATGAGAAAAGCGCCGGCATGGCAAATGTGAAACAATTGAAAACAAAACAACAGCCTGAAGTCTTTTATTTTATTCTTACAGTAACAATAGAAGCAGACAGACATAAGATAACAGACAGGGAAGACTGGGCATCTGTTGCATCAACAGTGTATGTTTGTAGTAAGTAACCACAAATTGTTGACAAGTTTCAAAATTTCTGGAGTAGAAATTAGAAGGGAATATTTCCATTAAAATTGACTATAAAGCACAAACACATCCAAAAATAAGCTCAATTATACATGTGTTACAACAAGTAAAAACAAGATCTGATGATGTATTACTATTAATTTTTATATGACCGCAAAAAATTTTGCAGTCATATACTGGTATCACCTCCTCGTCGTCATCAGCGTCGTCAGAAGACGTGGTTTCCGCACGATAACTTAAGTAAATGTAAATAGAAATCTATGAAATTTAAACAAAAGGTTTATAACCACAAAAGGAAGGTTGGGATTGATTTTGGTGGTTATAGTCCTAACAGTTTAGGAATTAGGGGCCAAAAAGGGGCCCAAATAAGCATTTTTCTAGTTTCCAGATAATAACTTGTGGAACGGTGTATGGATCTCTCTGAAATTATACCACAAGTTTCCATACCACAAAGGGATGGTTAGGATTGGCTTTTGGGGGTTATGGCTCAAACTGTTTAGGAATTGGGGGCAAAAAAGGGGGAAAAACAAGAGTTTCCTGGTTAATGGACAATTAAAAAAAAGTACAATGTTATGTTTGGGTTACCTCCCTTACACTGCTTTTAAATTATGTATAAAGAAATGTTGTATTGTCTTGAGGTGATTAGCTGTCAATTTATTTTTAGAAGTTACTATTTAAAAATTCTTATTAAGGAATATTAATTTTAGCCATGATTATGTATGTCATTTTCTATTTTAAGAATTTTATGATGTATTCAAATGGGTAATTATGGTTGCAAACTCCATTGGAAATTTGAATTGAGATTATGACCATATCTTGAGGGAAAGAATTTGTTTTTGGAAAAAGGGGTGGGTAGGTGAAAAAAAAATTGGGGGTGGGGGGTAAAAAAGATTTTTTTTTTTTTGGAGGGGGTCAATTCGCAACAGCATAGTGTTTTGCACAAAAGCAAAATAAAGGGGGGAATTTTTTTTTTTTGGGGGGGGGGGGGGGTCAATTCGCAACAGCATAGTGTATTGCACAAAAGCAAAAAATTGAATATAAATTAAAATCATATAACCAATTCTAAGTTCTTTGACTACAGTTATTCTGTGTCAGAAACCTATTATGTGTCAAATATTTAATTACAATCCAAATTCAGACCTGTATGAAGTGCGAATATTGTGTCCATTTTTGCCCCAACTGTTCAGGGTTGGACCTCTGCGGTCATATCCAGCTGCGCTCATCGAAGCAATTTATTTATTTTTGGACATTTTTCCAGTTAAATTAACAACAAAACACAAAATTTCAGAATAGCAATCAGAAAAAATGGATAAATGTCTATGCAGTGTTTATTTTCATTTGTTTTCAGTATATATAGTAGAAGCAATATTAAAGATTCTAGGAAAGGGACCAGCAGTATACTTCACCAGTGGCTGGGATTTGTAAGTACTATTGTTCTTCATAATGTGGTTAAATACTCTCAATTGGATTGTGAGTGAATCACAAAGATTTATTATTAAAATAACTTATCTAAGATTTCAGATATTGAAAAATATTCAACAAGTGATCGAAGAACACATTTATATATAATTAATGGATGCACATATCGCATGGGTGAATTATCACTGTTGTTTAGATATTAAATTCTTGAATTGTATTCTATTTATAACATTGAATTTAAATATAGATAAAGTAGAAAATGCAAAAGAAAATAATATTTTTTTCTAATCTGGCATCCTTTTGATTCAACATCATTGACATTAGTTTTATGTTTTTATGACTTTAAATGATGAAGAAAGCAGAATACCTAAGGGCTATTCCATTAAAATGTATGTAGGAGGGTAGGAAGGGACTTTCAAAATATCCCTACAACCAAGAACCATTTTTTAGATAATTTTGCATAATGGTAATAGATGCATACTGAAAAAAGACCCATGACCCACATTCAATAATTAAACTCCCCTTTCTACCCTCCCACATACATTTTAATTGAATAGCCCTAAAGAGAACCACCACCTTCAGGCAAGTAAACTGACAATCCTTTTCAGTTAAGCTCGGAGTCAGAAGCACCTCCAACAAACAGGGTTCGAACTCACAATCTCATTGTTGACAGGCTAGTGATCACTGTAGATGATCTACTTATACTTCATGGCTAAGGAGACCCCTGAAGTTAAAAATGTGGCAAGCCAACATCCTTAAACACATTCTTTGATAACAATTTGAAAATTGGATATCTTGTACATTGAAGCAATTTTGACATTGGTGAACAATAGTTGTGAAATATGATGTACACATGTCTATTGGGACAGATTTTCTTTCATTTTAGATTTTGACCATGTTTACTTAAATCGAACAAAGCTTATTTTATAACAATCCTGTCATTTTGGATTTTCAGATTTGATTTTGTAGTAACAGGCACATCTGTGATAGGACTTCTGGGAGAATTTTTTGACGACTCATTTTATTTCATAATAGTCCTGAGACCATTCAAATTATTGAGGTAAGCTAATACAAAAATGTACAGAACAACCTTGCTCTTTTTTTAGATCAGTATCATCAGCTGTTCTCATTAATATGATGGTTAAAACTTAATTTCTTCAAGGATACATAATTAAAAAATGATTTATTTCTGTCATTCAATTAAAATGTTATGCATAGAAGTAGAAATTTTGATTTAAAATGAATATGTCTTAAGTTCAGCTAATTATTTTTCACTTTTATTTGTCACAGAGTCTCTAAACTGAAATCCTTGTTCATTTATCTTTTATTTCTTTTAATTATGAAATATAGTTTAATTATTGTTTAAAATTATTTATTATTTACAAAATATTATAGTGCATAATGTTTAAGTTTATTGAAGATTCTGTTTATATATTTAGGTCATAGTTCATGAGGCTAAATATTATGTAAATGAGGGAAAACATGCACATGTTACATGATTATATCGACAAAAGTCAGAATTCTCTGTTTAGAAGGGATTTATATGTTTATTGCATTGAACTATTCAGAGGAATAACGATAGGTTGATATAAGATTTGGAACACCTCATGTATACCTAAATAGATATTTTCCTAGACAACATCAATGATATAGGTTTTTGGAGACATCTGAGTCATTCTTAGATAATTGTAACTGAGTTCCATACACACACATTAATCATTAATGTAGGTAAAAAAAAAACTCATCAAAGATGGTAAATGTCAGAAAAGTCGCAGGATAAAAATTTGCATGAAAAAAGTCACAAATTTAGTAGGAAAAAAGTAACAAATCTGTTAGGAAATAATGTCCATTGTTTTACAAATGTTTAATAATATTTCATTGTTTTTCTCTTCTTTCAAAGTTATAGGGAACTTTCAATGGCAAATTATAAATGACATGTTATTAAAAAAGTATATTTTTTAACGTTTTATGTGTTAGTCCTTTGATTGACAGGAAATGTAGATAGTAATTGAAGCCAGTTAAATTAGTTAATAACCATCTGTTGATTTGTTTTAAAAAAATGATATTTTCATGGACAACATTTTGTTTTAATCTTATAAATTTATTAAATTACAATAAACACAAACATTGAAATACCTTACTCCTCTATTCTAACATTGAAAGATGTTGAAACACTATTCAGTTGAATAACAGATTTGATTTACTTCATACAAATTCAAATAATTTTCCTGTTACCTTTTTCATATAATATAAATAGACATATAATACATATATACGTTTCTGCCTACATCTTGATAAAAATCTCTTAAAAAGTGTATATATTCAAAAATTTAATATACAACATTTAGTATTATTTTATTGTGATTTTCTTTCCTGTGACCTTTTTTCCTGTGATTTTTTTTCCTGTGACTTTTTATTCGTGACTTTTTTTTCTGTGACTTTTTATCCATGACTTTTTTCAGTGACTTTTTCCTACATTCTCAAAGATACCTGCAGGCTTAGAATTTTGTACAACAGACACATAATTGGTAAATGATTTGATTCTGTTTGTAGATTATTTAAAGTAAAGGAAAGATATAGAGATGTACTTGGTACTCTGTTTGTTTTATTTACCAGATTGATAAGGTATACAGTTTGATAGATTTTTATATTATATACTGTAATTCAGACATTATTGCATGCATTTCCAATTTTTGAAAACTGGACAAAGATGTAAGTTTTGTGATTTCAAGAAAATCTGCATACACATATATGTATCAGATATAAGAATGTGAGTTCATATTATTGCCATACTCTTCCAATGGCATTATTCACATTAATAAAAACCATGCAATAATTTCTGAATTTACAGTGCTTAATAGCTATATAGTAAATACAAGTAAAATGTATTTGTAATACAATCAATGGAAATTGTGCTATATCAGTCACCCCTGATTATATGGATATCAGTCATGGTTGCAAAGGCTTTATAATACCCCTAATCTGTATGACGTCACATGATCGATATCAGTCACGGTTGCAAACCCCAGATCTGTTTTGTGTTATGCCGCATGAAAAACATCAATATATGTACTTGAGATATATGATAAAGTGTATATGATATGGCTTTTTATATGCCCATCTTTAACCGTTTCGCCAATGAATCCCGGTTTACTGGGATTCACACTTCAGACAGCTGACAATGAGTCTAGGTTTACCGGGATCGGAATACCTCTTTTATATTTCCCGCTAAAAAACATTGCAAACACAAGTTATCTTTCTTTGTTTATACTCGGATGAAAGTGTAAACATGGCGCTTCCGTTTGTTGAAAATCGTGTCAAAATCAGATGAAATTTACAGATTTTACTTGAAGTTGGAAATAAGGGAATATTTTTTAAAGGAATAGGGAAGAATTGAAGCCAGACTAGTATACTTTTTTTTTTACATAAAAAGCCGTTTTATGTACAAAAACACTTGGAATGAACCTGTAAGGAATTTGTACAACCTCGTTAAAATTTTCATACTTATGCTGTTTTGGTTAAAAAATTACGATTTTGGGTCAAAAAGTCCAATTTTGTGAATTTCATCTAATTCATGCTGAAAATTTGCAAATTTTGATTTTTTTTTACTAAAAAATTATCAAAACATTAACAAAACTGTGCCCATGGTGTAAGTGAATAGAATAAAGACATAAATAACTACAAACAAGTTTTTATTGATATTTATATGAAGATCTCCCACTTGTGTCACAATAGCCAGGGAAGCCATCGTCTCAGAGTAGCTTCTGTCAGGGCAGCTATCAGTGAAAGGGTTAAGGAAAGGACATATTATGGTATACCATTGTCTGTCTGTCTGTCTGTCTGTCTGGTTGATACAGATGTGTTCTATTTTAGTAGTGCTCACAGTATATATGATTATATAAATTTATTTAATGCAAAAAGACAAGGTAAAAGGGAGACGGTCCTTTCATGTGCTAATGGCACAGCTCTTTATTTAATATCACTCACCTTATGTACCCTCAACCAATGTAATCCCTTAAGCTGAGCTCTGGGAAATATATCAGTGTCTCTTGTTGATATGGATGTGTATGATATTCTTTATATATATACCCTCACTGAATGAGTGCATTCACCTTGTCAGTTTGTTCATCTGTTCGTCCAACAAATATTCTAGTCACACTTTTCTCATGTACTACTAAACAGAATGACCTCATAATTGGTCAGCACCACAACGTGTACAGTCTTAATCCACTTACTACCTTTTGCCTATTATTTAGAAAATATTTCCTCACCATGTTTCTATAGTCTAACATAAAAAAGACTTTTTTCCATGGTTTTCCAAATATATCAAATATATCAGTGTCTCTTGGAATTCCATGGAAAAGAACCTATTTGGGAATAATTCACACGAGACAAATTTCCCAAAATATATGGAAAAAACCATTACATCATAGAAACCGTTTTTTTAATACTGATCTACATCTGAGGAACTGAAAAGGCGCATACAGTTTACCAAGGGCAAGAATTTCCTTTATCATCTTACAGTCACATATTTTTATCAAATTTTGCATACAGCTGCGTTAAGCTTGAACTGAAAATTGAAAAAAATGAATTTATTTCTTATTTTCTGAAATATTATTGAATGAATTATTTCAGAATAGATTTGTATAGAAAGCAGATAAAACGATGAACAATGTTTAATAAAGTTGTCTTAAATCCTAAAATTTTTAAAACCAATGCATAATAGATATTAATATCAGGTTGATTGATATAAGTAATCAGGGTACACAACAGAGAAATTTTAAGATTACTGTGGATTCATTATTATTTGGTGGGTTTACCAATTTTCATCGATTTTGCATGTATCCGTTAACCACAAATTTGAATGTTTAACGAAGTAAACATGTTATAGAGAGACATTGATTGTTGAAATGCGGATCTGGTGCAGAAAAATTGGTACCGTTTATGTCATTTTAGAGGCTTGAATGCAGATTCTGGGCAAACCAAGAAATCAAATATCCACCAAAGTATAATTTGTCTTCAATCCATGAAAATTGGTAACAGTACTAAATATATATTACAATAAAATGGCAAGGTAGTTCTGGTGAAAAGGTTTATCTATCAAACCATTAACAAACATTCCTTAAAATCATTGACCAATGACTTATTATTATAATAAAATTGATAATTAGTACCCATTAAAAAATAATAAAGAAGCCAGGACATGAAGTCTATGTAGTTTAATTTTAAAGATACACATATCCATACACATACTCGCCAATAAACTAACATATCATATTTGTTTTTCTTTCATTATTTTGTACATAAATCAGGCCGTTAGTTTTCTCGTTATTGTTTTACATTTGTCATTACGGGGCCTTTTATAGCTGACTATACGGTATGGTTTTTACTCATTGTTGAAGGCCGTAGAATGACATATAGTTGTTAATGTCTGTGCCATTTGGTCTCTTGTAGAGAGTTGTCTCATTGGCAATCATACCACATCTTCTTATTTTTATATAACAGTCCAAACTTTAAATATTGATGTTTTTTTCTTTCAGTCTTGCCATTGTGATAATTCTAGTGTATTATTTCTTTGCCATTATTGGAATGGAGATGTTTTTACACTCAGATCTACGTAACTGCTGCAAGTAAGTCTATTATGCATCTCAGATTGTGTTTTAAACCTTTGTCTTAATGAACTTTTATTAAATTCTGATAATATAATTATAAATCTGAGAGACATGTTTCTGCACCAGTATACCGGACTCATTCTAAGATAGGAAAAAAGGAGGTGAAAGATACCAAAGGGACATTCAAACTTATAAGTCGAAAACAACGCCATGCCAAAAAAAGAAAAACGACAAAAAGACAAACAACAGTATACAAAACACAACATTGAAAACTTGACTGAGCAACACAACCCCGTTAAAAATCAAGGTTGATCTCCTTTGCTCTCTGGAAGGGTAAGCAGATCTTGCTCCACAGGCGACGCCCTTCGTGTTATCTTGTAAGCGTGCAAATCTAATGTGAGCATTTATGTAGGCCAGACACTAATTAATAATAAAAAAGCTAATGCAGAATAGTGAAGTCATAATATTGATGTACAGGTTAACGACCTCTTTTTAGCCCAAATTAAACATTAAGCAGGTTTTTTATCAATATAAATGTTGGATTACATTTCTACAGGTTGAAGCGTATTCCTGTATAATGATGCCAGCTCTATAACTGTTTTATACGATATATTAAATATTTTACTTAACCCATGATTGGAAATAAATTAATCCAAAGTATTTTTTTGTTATAACCCCTGATTCGTTATACAGTGTATTGGTTGATGTACACATTATTGATTTAAGCTTTGACAATGTTATCATGCCAAAATATGTGTGCACAGCAGACTTAACACAAATGTACACTTATATTACAGAAATACAAGTGTGGAAGCTTATTACAAATACAGTAATGACTCAACCAATATGATGTATTATTACCTCAACAACTTTGACAATATATTAGTATCAGGAGGTATGTTATGTAATTACGTTCAGACTTATAGGAATTTATGTAGCAAAACTTTCACCACACCATAAAATCAGAATATCAAAAAGAATAAAACCATTAATAAAGGAGACGTTATTAGTGATTATTTTTTGCCCTGTATCTTAACACCACTGGCTCTGTGATCCATTTTCAAGGTTCTTTCTTGGAGCTTGGTTATCCCCGCTTCACAATATTGAGTTCAGATGATGAATATCTGTGGAATTGTTTGGAAAAGAAAATGATTTCTAAATGTCCTTCTCATCATCTAGTTTTGATTTGATTTTGATTTATGTCAAAACTTCCATTTTCCATGAGCATTGTGACTGGATGAAAGGTGAAACTGATAAGCAACAACATTGCCAAACAATCACCACAATGTTCCTTATGTAAATAGGTAAGACCAAAAACCAACTGAAAATTTATAACACCACAACACAAAGTTCCTTATGAAACTAGATAAGAATAAAAACCAACTAAACATTTAAGATACCACACTACAAAGTTCTTAAAATGAAAATAAGATGCATATAAGATTGATGTCAGTACTAATGCTTTCCATTTAAGAACATGGGAATTGGAAAAAAAGATATGACGGAAAACCAACTTAATTGAAACAAGATAAGACAAAACGAAACAAAACAATCACAGCACAACAATAATGACTTAAAACAACAACTCACTACAATGTACAAAAATGAATTAAGAATGGACCAAAAATAAACCAAAAATTTTAAACGACATGCATAAAAAAACCTAAAAGTAGTTAATTTACTACTTTCATTAGTAGTAATTGTCTCGCCTTGACGGAGTAAAAAAGCGACAGATAGGTATGCTGTTTCCGGCGTCGGTGGCGGCGGCGTCAACAATGTATTAGTTTGTGATTAGGTCTAGTTTATGGTGAACCACTAGTGATAGGTCAATAATATTTGGTATGCAGTTGTATAAGCATTAGCACATCTCATTTCCATGCAGGAATATTTGGCCCCGCCCCCTCATCTCAGTCATGGTCTATTGACTTTTAAACTTTTGCTTAGTTTATATGTATTAGTTTGCGATTAGATCAGTTTAAGATGAACTGCTAATGTTAAGTCAAGGATATTTGGTATGCAAATGTATTGGCATTTGCAAGTATCTATTCCATGAAGATTATATAGCCCCAACCCCTCATCATAGTTCATTGACTTTGAAACTTTTACATAGTTTACAAGTTAATGTTTGTGTTTAGGTTTGTTTAAAGGAAACGACTTATGAAAAATCAATGGTATTTGGTATGCAGTTGTATTATCATTGGCACATCTCATTTCCATGGAGATTGTTTGGCCCTGTACCTTCAGTCATAGTTCATTGACTTTGAATATTTGCATAACTTACATGTTAAAGTATTGCTTTTTTTGTCTCGCCTTGACGGAGTCAAAAAGCGAGACATAGGTATGCTGTTTCCGGCGTCGGCGGCGACAGCGTCAACAATGTATTAGTTTGTGATTAGGTCTAGTTCATGGTGAACCACTAGTGGTAGGTCAATGATATTTGGTATGCAGTTGTATTAGCATTGGCACATCTCATTACCATGGAGATTATTTGGCCCCGCCCTCTCAGTCAAGGTCTAATGACTTTGAAACTTTTCATAGTTTACATGTATTAGTTTGTGATTAGGTCAATTTATGGGGAACCACTAGAGGTAGGTCAATGATATTTGGTATGCAGTTGTATAAGCATTGGCATATCTCATTTCCATGGAGATTATTTGGCTCCTCCCCCTTAATCATGGTCTATAGACTTTGAAAATTTTGCTAAGTTAACATGTATTAGTTTGTGATTAGGTCAGTTCAAGGGGAACCATTAGAGGTAGGCCAATGTTAATTAGTGTTCAGTTGTATAAGCATTAGCACATCTCATTTCCATGGAGAATATTTGGTCCCGCCTCCTCAGTCATGGTCTATTTACTTTGAAACTTTTGCTTAGTTTACATGTATTAGTTTGTGATTAGATCAGTTTAAGATGAACTGCTAATGTTAAGTCAATGATATTTGGTATGCAAATTTATTGGCATTTGAAAGTATCGTTTCCATGGAGATTATATAGCCCCACCCCTGATCATGGTTCATTGACTTTGAAACTTTTACATAGTTTACAAGTTAATGTTTGTGTTTAGGTTTGTTTAAAGGGAACGACTTATGATAAGTCAATGGTATTTGGTATGCAGTTGTATTAGCATTGGCACATCTCATTCCATGGAGATTGTTTAGCCATGTACCTTAGCCATGGTTCATCGACTTTGAATATTTGCATAACTTGCATGTTAAAGTATTGCTATTTTAATTTCAACATTTGCATTATCAAAATTACAAAAAGGCGAGACATATCTCTGTGATAACAGTTTATGATTTCAACATTTGCATTATCAAAATAACAAATAGGCGACACATATCTCTGTGTTAACAGTTTATTACTGTATGAAATTTATCACCTGACAATAATTCTATTGAAATTAGACATAATAATCCTATGCACATTTCTTTGATTTCGCAGGTGTCTATTAATTTGATAGATATATATATATATTTCTCTAATTCTGTGGCAATTTAACCCTTTCTGGACCCATTGTATAAAAAAATTTAATCAACGTGTGGTTGCCGATGATCTCAGAAGATGATTGGATGAGTTTAAGGGTCATAACCTTTATCAGCTCACAGGATGAATCAAAATATGATAACAGGTGTTAATGAAATTGACAACTTTGTGGAATTTTGGAAGGCACTCTAAAGGGATTTTCATTTATCAAAAATGAAAATTAATTTGATAATCATTAGAGAAACAGATTCTTACATAGTTACTATTGGATTATCGGATTTATCCAATTTTAATAGTTAAATTATCAATTTTTAAGTCCTCGCCAAGGCTCAGACTTTAAATTTTGATAGCTTAACTATCTCGATTGGATAAATCTGATAATCCACTGGTACCAAAGTAAGAATCTATATATATACTTTCAAGTCTTGTTCAAGTTTCTAAAGTTGTAAGCTACACTCTTCTATCTGTATGTGATGACAGATTTATCCTTAACTTAGGCTGATTGTTTCTTTATGAAGGTTTACAAGAGAGTTCTTTGAACATATTAAATCCTGTATATTTAATTTACATTTATCTTGGCCAATGTGGCTTCCTCTGACTGCTTTGGCAAATAAATGTACAGTAAGATTACATTAAACTCAATTACAAGTAAAAAATAAACAAAAACAAGATACAAATATTTGATGTGGTGTAAATATTTATTTTCAGTAACTTTATTTGAACTGACTGTTGTCAATAACTGGTTTATAATTATGGTGAGTAGATATTCTTATGTTGGATTATTAATATGCTTGTTTGTCTCAATTCAGTTATGTACCATAAAATAAATTAAAAAGAAATATGTTTTGATATTGAAAAAAAAAAAAACAATTGGATAAGTAAGTCATTAATTAGAAGTTGCTTTTTAGATTCAGTTTGCATTATTTTTTGCAGCTTTTCATCTCATTACATTAATTTATATCATGTTTTTGTTCATTTCTTAACAGTCATAATAATGAATGCCAACAATAATTAATGAATTAACAGTAACAAGACAACAATATATTTGGAAGGAAAGTCATAATCAGATATGCACTAGAGTTGAGTTTTTTTATTATGGCCCGGTCGCGACGGAGGGGCATTAAGTGTTACTCGTGTCCGTCCGTATATCCCAAAATTACTTTCCGTTCTCTAACTTTAGTTTGCCTCAACCAAACATTATGAAGTTTATACACGATGTGTATTACCACAAAACACAAATCAAGTTTGAATTTGGGTTGCGTCACTTTTACCGTTCTTGAGTTATGTTCTTTTATAATGTTATATGCAAGCGGGGGCATCATCTGTGTCCCATGGACACATTCTCCATTTTCTTCAATTTTATTTTAAGCTAACACCCCACATTTTTTTTTATCATTGTCTTGCAACTTTGTCTTCTGTCATCTTTTATACACAATCTGATTTACAAGAAAACCTTTTTTAATTGACTTTGTGTATCTTTTTTGGTTAAACAGACTTTGGGTGAAATGAAAATCTCTAAATGCAAGTTACTGTGGATTCATTATTATTCATTGGCGACTAATTTTCAAGAAATACCTGGGTAGAGGCAAACCACTAATTTAAATGCTTAACAAATTGTACATTTATTTTCTATTCGTTTGTATGTAAAATCTGACAAAACCACGAATTCATGAAAATACATTTTCCTCCAATCCCCGAAAATTGATACCCAAGAAAATAAATAAATCAACAGTAGATCACCATCCAAAAAAGAATAGATAGATTGTTTATTTTAGGCATAATTTCTGGCCTACCCTGCGAGACCCTCCTGGATAATTAAGGTCATTAAACATCCCTGAATAGTATACATGAAATGGAATATCTTGAGAACTAGTAACACTACAATTATACAAATGTATAAACAAGAGCTACACTTTTGGCTACAAATACACACTGACAGCACAAAAAACACACTCAAACACAAAAAATAAATGCCTTCTCTATTAGATTGTCCAAATATTTATGATGCTTTGATAACCATGCTTTCATCTTTTACAGGAAGGTTATGCTCATCACATAGGAGAGTGGAGTCGAGTTTATTTCATGTTGTTTTATATTGTTATGATGGTAAGTGACAATAAATAAATGGAGATGTGGGAAATACGTCAAAGGAGACAGCAACCCCACGATACAAATAACCAAAAGACATCTGGATGTCAATATATAGTCCTCAACAATGTCCATGTGTCTAAAAAGTATGTCAAGCTCCTAATCATTCCGACTCTAAAAAAGTTGTGAAAACATTAAACAGAAACTGTCAAAGATTAAATTCTCCAAATAACCAAAAAAACTTTGAAATTTGACATAATACAATAATTTCACATGGAATAATGAAAAATGCATAGATGAATATAATTGTTGAATTGTACAGTTATGACAAAAGATTTCTAATGAAAATAAATGAGTATACTTTATTCTTCACAGATACAGCTGCAAAATTGTTTTGCTTAATAAATGAAAATCTTTAGATTTGCTTGAAATTGAAATTTGACATTGAAGTACAGTCAAACCTGCTTTAAAGGTCGAAAACCTGTCTTGTCAGGTCACGCTCTTCTTGTACTGCTGTTGATTACCTATGCATTTTGAACCTGAATTCACAGGTCACCTCTCTTATAAGGTCAGTTTTATCTTGTCCCAATGCAGGTTTTTGACTAGTCTTTATAAACTTTTTCTTTTGACATTCTAAAGAGAGAGTTTATATTTGCATTTCAGGTGGTGATGAACATTGTAGTGGCCTTTATTTTAGAACAATTCCTGTTTAGAATGCAGTATAACAGAAAAATGGAGGTCAAAGATATTGAAGGTAAGATTTTTATTTAAAAATAAAAAGTTCAAAAATGAAAGTCATTTAAATGATTATTGTCAGTAAAGTTTAAAATCTTGTATGAATTTGCTACATTTAAAACTCATAAATCGAAGAAAAACTGACAACACGATGGCAAAAAAAGTAAACTAGGAAAAGATGAACAAGTCCACATGATACAACAATGAAAATAGAGCAACATGAACCCCATCAAAAACCAGAGATGAACTCCGGTACTTCCTATGCTAATGTACAGCAGGAGAACAAACTTTATCAGATGAGGTAGATACAAGGTACTTCCTATGCTAATGTACAGCAGGAGAACAAACTTTATCAGATGAGGTAGACACAATGTCATTCTTTCTATTAATCATGAAGGTCTTTTACCATTTCTAAATATGAATTTATATATGAAATTGATATCATTTGAAATCACAACTTGCACTTAACTATGAATAATCATTAGCTGTAATTGTGAATTTATATTCACATTTTAATTCTTTTGAAAGAAATATGTATTCTAAATAAATGGAAAATGGAAACGGGGGAATGTGTCAAAGAGACAACAACCCGACCAATGAGCAGAAAACAGTTCAAGGCCACCAATGAGTCTTCAATACAGCGAAAAAATCCTGCACCAGGAGGCGGGCTTCAGCTGGCCCCTAAACAATAATGCATACTAGTTCAGCGAAAATGGATGTCACACTAAACACCGAAGACTAACAAAGGCCAGAGGTTCCTGACTTGGGACAGTCACAAAAATTCGGCTGGGTTAAACATTGTTGTGAGATCTCAACCAACTCCCCATACCTAAAGTATGCTTTAATATACACTTGTCTGTAAATGCCAAGCTTTCTAAAGTTGAGGACATTATAAAACTATGTTAAGGGGAACAGATTTGATAAGTCATGGATATTTGGTATGCAGTTGTATTAGCATTCATTCCAGGGAGATTTTTGGGCCTGCACAATTAGTCATGGTTCATTAACTTCGAATATTTTACATAGTATACATGTTAAAGTATTAACATTTTAATTTCAGCATTTGCATTATACATTCAAAGTTACATACAGAAGAGACATATATCTGTGACAACAGTTTATTTTAGTCTAATGCCATATTCTATATTTATATATTGCAATTTGAAGACATTCTGAAATACATTTGATTTGAGGGACAATTTGGCCTCTAATCACCTTTCTTTATCAAAATACCAGTTTTCATCAGTTTTTGGTTAGGGAATGAACTCGTCTTTGGAGAAAGAATTTAAATTTCGTGAGAATTTGTTAATATATATAACATTGATTATGCCCCTGCTGTAGGCAATGGGGGCATTAAGTGTTGCCCTTTACCGTCCATCTGTCTTTCTATCCATCCGTCCTTCCGTCCATCCCATTTTCGTGTCCGTACTGAAACTCATACACAATGCTAAGAACCACAACACCCAGTCAGAGTTCAAATTTGGGTTGTGAGTCATTTACCGTTCTAGAGTTATGCCCTTTTTGACTTGGAAAATTGCAAAGCTTGAGCGGGTTCATATGTGTCCTCAGAAACAATCTTATTTGATTTTATATTGATCTGTTTAGCCCTAAACTTCTCAGTGTATGATAAGCAGAAAATACATCCCAAAAAATCAATTTTGAAAAGGGTTTTTCTGCTTTTTAATTGTGATGAAGTAATCAAGAAGTTTTTATTTGCTCAGAAGTCGTTGTTATTGCTTAATGTCATGTGGCAAATATTACATATAGAACTTTGAAACATTTAATATTTGTTTTCAATATACATGTTATTTTACAGATCATGCCAAACACACTGTACATATTACAATATCTGAGGAAGAACAAGCTATGTGTGAACATCGGTATCATAAAATTACTGGTGACTACATCGTCAATCAATCCAAGTCATGTGATATACCTGTAAGTCATGTGATAAGATTCATGGTAATATTGGAAAGTATTAGAAGCCACGTATAATACTAGACAAAGGATTACAAAAATACAAAACAAAAAGGAAAGTAACAACTAATTGGGTTTATTATCTGAAAAATTGAGGTTAGAACTTTAGCAGTGAAACAAACAATCATAGTTGACTACATGATTTAAATATTTTCCAGTAACAAATAACATTTTTTATTTTTATGATATAAAAATGTATGAGTAAGTTCCATTTATAACAAAAAAGTAAAACTATTATGATTATAGTGTGAATCTTTTAATATCAAAATAGTAATTTTGTTGTACACCAGAACATCAAGTTGCTTTAATTTTTTAGTTTAAAATTTTTCAAACTAAATAATGTTGGCTTTACTATGTCCGACATCATATTGCACAGGTTTAAATGTTGACATTTGCAAAGCAATAAATTTTGGATGTCAAACATTTTCTTTTGTAATGCAAAAAGTTACAGGGAATTTTTTGTTTTTTTTTCTAAAGCGAACAAATTTGGATTTTTTGTATTGAGTTATTATTTTCTATTGTAGACACCATACTTATACAATGGAGAGAGATTTTGTAACTATTTTCTGTTGTAGACACCATACTTATACAAGGGATAGAGATTTTGTAATTATTTTCTGTTGTAGACACCATACTTATACAAGGGAGAGAGATTTTGTAATTTTTTTCTATTGTAGACACCATACTTATACAAGGGATAGAGATTTTGTAATTATTTTCTATTGTAGACACCATACTTATACAAGGGAGAGAGATTTTGTAATTATTTTCTGTTGTAGACACCATACTTATATAAGGGAGAGAGATTCAGAAATAAGGATGATTACAGCTTAAAGATGTACAGTGATGAGGTCAAGGTAAATCAATAAAAGTTGCAATGAAATAACATGATTACCTTGTGTAAAAAACAGATGTTTCTCATGTGAAATAAATCTGTATTTTCATTGCGATAAGATGAGAGTTGTTCTTCACTCATACGCTGTACACATTCATGTATAAATGTGTTCAGTCATTCAAATATATTTTGTCAATTCAATTCTTGAATTAGTTATTCTATAATTATTATATGCTGTGTTCCTCAGCTTCATCTGTTATTGGATAACTATAATAGTTTCAAATAAAACATTCAGATTATATTTCATTAACCTCACATTATTTTAAAAACTTTTCTGCTGATGTTTATCATAATGCAGACCTTTACTGGTGAAAAATCTGGTAAGTGGAGAATTAATTCAGAAAAAATGGGTCATTTATTAAATTTTTTGAATTCTTGACAATTTAAAATTGTGCTAGATATCTCAAATGTGATCACAGAAATGTATCAGGAGTTTCTATGAAAATTTAAAAAGTAGAATTTTCATTAATGCAGAACTATTCTGATCAAAGTTCTCACATCAATAAAGATGTTTTGATATGTAATTTTTAAGTCTTCAAAAATTACTCCATAATAAACATGTTTTAACTTTTTCAACCATTTTAGACTTGGATAGAAGAAGATGAGCAAAACAGAGAAGAAACCATAGCTAATTTGGAGAATCTGAGACAAAGACGGCGTGTCAATCACAGTTTGAATTTGGATGAACCAATTGCACCAGTATTTTTACATCGAACAGTATCTGAGTTAGAGTCTCCTGATATTGAAAACAGTTTTGCTTAAAGATATTTTTTTTAAATGTTTTGAGAATACTTTTATATGTGTTTAGAAGATCAGACTTGAATTTCAAAGGTGATGATGAAAAGGCAAAATAATTCTGAAGATTTGAATATTATTATGATATTATTGCAAACAAAAAAATCCACATGCATTGTATATTCATTTATCAGTATATCTCATTCTATCGTGATCTGTGATGTAATTATTGGACACTAATTTGCATATTGCATATTGCTAATTACAATATAATATTTCTGTCATACCTTGTATACTTGTGTATAGTTTGGAGCAGTTTCTTATTTCAATAGCTTACTCATCTTGAGAATAATAGGTTTACTTTTAATCCTTGTACAAGTTCAAATTTGAGCCAAAGAAAGTATGATGAAACATTAAAAAGAAAACAATGCTCCTGAATATTTGTTATGGTTGTATTATTAAGTAAAGTGGTTTTCTCCTTTACTGTTTGCAACAATACATGTAGCTGCCATAGGATTTTGAAAAAGGGGGGCCCACCAAGGCAATATTAGGAATGGGACTTGTAAAAAGTCTATGCATTAACCATACTTATAACTCCATAATGGGAGGACTAAGATCCAGGCCCCCTACATAAAATCTGCCTCTGGTTTTAAAACATAGTTGTTTTCCCTCAATATGTTCAATAACAAAAATATGTTGATGAGACAACGTAGAATTGTATGGGTATTCAGATCAATGACCCATGTCTAAAAATAAACTACCCCTCCTACCCTTCCACATTCATTTTTAAGCTTATTAAAGCCTCAAATATAAAGCACACCTTATCTTTGTTTTAAATGTGGTCTTGCCAAAAACAACAATTATAGGTTGAATTTAATAATGCATTGAGATTGGTGCTAAAAATGGTGTTATAATGAGTATTGTACCTTTGAATATTTGAGGTAAATTTGTCAATGTTTTGTTTTATTTCAAAATAATAATAGAAATGAAATTGTTTGTGTATTAATTTTTATTAATTGAAAATATAAAGATTACTTTTGTACATTTTTGATAACATAGCTCAACATAAAGCTAGGTTGATTATTGTGCCAAACAGCTATATTGGGGTGACAGGGTTTAGAACTTAACATGCTGTATATACACTTGTTCATTGTTGAAGGCTGTTTGTTGACCTTAAGAGGCCTTGTGATTTTGTCTCTTTTCATGCCACTGGATGTTATAAATGGCCATCTCTCATCATTATCATCTGTTTTTATTCATATTTACGATACTATAAGTTTCTTCAACTATGGAATTGTTGACATGCAAGAGTTAAGCACTTATGTTCAAATTTATGTGAGAAAAAAATCTACTTTCAAAAACCAATTGATTAAAAGTTTAACTGCTATTTAAGCACTTACATTCAAGTCACAACAAGAGCAAATATTAAAAATTGACATTCAAAAATCAAAAAAGTTATTTGCTTGTGTACTTGAAGAATATTTTAAAATAACATTTTCTTTTCTTTCTTTTAATATTTTTGTATATATTATTTGTATAACAGCAAATATAAGAGCTCTAATTGGAGTAAAAATTGTGTTTGTTAATAGCCAGTATTTTTTTTAGAGGTTTAGAAATCCCGAACTGTGACTAAGTGGGCTAAACAGACCTATTGTACAGGTTATTGTAGAAGAAAAAATCACCTTAACAGGTTATTGTAAAAAAACTATTATTCTGTTATGGGGGTTGTGGTCTTAGTCACAGTTATTCCAGAACGAGAGGAAACACATATTTTAGTTTTATACATGTGGGACAGGGGAAATTAACTATATAAATGATGTAAGATGTAAAAACTAGAGACATTTCCATGGAAAACTAATTACAATAAAAATCATTGTGATAACCAATTAATATTGGAAGTGGACAATTCTGTTTTGTGAATAGTTCTATTGTCATCATGTGTTGAAACTAAATTGCTGAAGTCGAACATGAGTAAATTCATGGTGAGATAATCTGTAGCTATCTGTGTTATCAGAGCAGTAGTTAATTATTTCAATACTTCACAAAAGTTTAAGAAGTTCTTAAGAATATCCAAAATGGAACTGACCACATGACGAAATGTAGTTGATAATTGAAAGTTTATTGTTCAATTTAAAGATAAATATCTTTATGACAATTTTGATATTGTGATGTTTTTGTCCAGCCTGCAACATTTATGTCACGAATGCAAGTTATAGCGATCATAGATCCCGGCGGCGGGGTCAACATTTAGGTTCAGTCTGTGGATAAAGATTTTTAGACATTAATATCTTTGTCAAACCTTCATGGAATTTTATAAAATTTAGACAGAAACTTGTTTATGACCAAAATATAGTATCCATAGCAAAATTTTGAAAATATATGAAAATATTTATTTTCATTTTTCCATATTTTACTGATAAATGGACTTAGTTTATTTTACAGTTAACATTCAGATTCAGTCCGAGGTTATAGTTTTTTAGTCATCAATAACTTTGTCAAGCCTTCATGGAATTTCATGAAATTTGGACAGAAGCTTGTTAATGACCAAAATACAGTATCCAGAGCAAAATTTTGAAAAATATTTATTTTTGATTTTTGTATTTTACTGATAAATTAGCTTTAGAGTAAACAAGTAGATACAGTCTGGGGTTAAAGTTTGTTACACATCAATTACTTTGTCCACAGGGGGGTCTCAACATGGTATTTTAGGTACAGTTGTGCAGCTGGGATTTAAAAAACACCCCCATTCATATATTGAATAATTGTGAAATCCCTACCTATACATATATTTCACAGCGAAATCATAACCCATTCATATATATTTATCAGCTCAAATAGTACCAAAAGGTCTGATATGTGACCTTTTTTTTACTATACTCTAGTGGGTAAAGATTATTAATTGTGACAGTGTAATAAAATTTGATCAATAACAAAACTTATGTCAATAAGTTTCAGCAGATGTGGAAATTTTAATGACAAAGAGTTTGGGAAATTCAGTGAAGATTAATATTGTTGCACAACAAACTGAAAAATTATGACCCATTGATATATCACAATTGGTCAATTACTACCTATTGATATATTTCCTCGGTAAAATTGCACCCCATTGATATATTTGACGTATCAAAAAAGGGACCCAATCCAGCGGCACATATGTATATACCTTCATATAGGAAGAGACCCCCTCCCCCCTATAGACTTTGTCAAACCTTCATAGAAGTTTATTAAATTTTGGCAGAAGCTTTTTAATGATTTAGAGATAATGTCTGAAGTAAATTTTAAGAGTATGGGATTAATTTTTTTGACATGATAAATTTGTAAACCTTCATGGATTGTTATGAAACTTTGACAGAAGCTAATTTTCAAGACCAAGAAATAACATTTAAAGAAAAAGTATTTTTTTACATTCTGTATTTTACTGATAAATGAACTCACTTTTTAAGTCAACATTACACTTTTACACTAACAGCAACAATCGCAGGCGAGACACAGGGTTCCACTAAACTCCTTATGAATATTTTTTTGTACTGGATACTTATTACTATTGTATTTTTGTAATTTGTTTTATATATGTATTGAAAATACACATGTTATTTTATGATTGTGATAATAATAATATGACATCTTCCTAGTCATCTGTTATATGAGATATATTTGTATTGGAATTGATTATACAAAAAATTGAAATAAATCAATATATTGTTTCTTCTTAGTATTAAGATAATCTAAGCTTTCTTTTCCTAAGCTGTGTGTGAAGTTCACAGGACTGTTCAGGTCATATAGTTTAATGGTTTCTAATCTATTTGCTTGTAAATAATCATTTTATTCCATACTTTTTCACCATTTAAGAATTTAAAGTATGAAGGAATAAAAGGATTAACAAAAATACCGAACTCCAAAGTAAATTCAAAAAGGGGGAAGTCCATAAAACCTGACAAAGTCAAATGTTAAACAATATCAACCAATGGAATGAATGGAAATAACTGTTATATTTCTGGCTAGGATACAGGCATTTTCCAAAATAATTTTCAGAATTTACAGGAAAACTTTTGAGATTGGTTAAAAGGCACATTATTCAGCCAATGGTGTCACACTACTTCATTTTGGTGTTTGAAGAACAAAATAATAATGTTTTTGTCTGATGAATGTAGCATTTCTCTTTCGCACTTGATTATTGTGCCAAACAGTTATATTGGGATGACAGGGTTTAGAACTTGACATGCTGTATATACACTTGTTCATTGTCAAAGGCTGTATGTTGACCTTAAGGGCATACGATACAGTTACAGGGGAAGTAATGACGTTGCTAACGTAAATTGTTATTTTCGCGACGTCAAACTGTGACTTATCGGGAAAAGATGCAGTTTTCGACTGATTTTTAACATTCAAACTGATTTAACTTGAAAACGAGTTCATGGACCCTTCTTTTTTAAAATGACATTTGGTTTGATTACGTATGAAGATTATGTGTACCAATTTTCATGAAAAAGTCAATAGTGCAATTATTTTAAATTTGATAAATATACAGCAAAAAATGACGTTTGTTTTTTACATTCATGAACATTTGATAAATATGAGTTATTTGTAAAAATAAAATGTACAAATTTATAGAACATTTATATAAAACAGAAATTACAAATAATTTAACAAAAAACAGCTTGTGTTTATCTTTTAAAACAAAAAAGTTATGTATTTCTGTCGAAAGGAAAAAATACGTCCACACATCCGAATTTTGAGGAAATATCTGAAATTTCAACCTCAATTTACTCAAAAAGTAGCACATGATGGTATATTTTTTATTGCATATTTGATTTAATCAGGTAACAAATAGCCTATATGCAAATTTTCATCAAAATTTCATTACGGGATCAAAACTGTATCGTATGCCCTTAAGAGGCCTTGGGGTTTTGTCTCTTTTCATTCCAGTGGATGTTATAAACAGCCATCTATCATCATCATCATCATCATCATATCTATTTTACTCGTATTTACAATGCTATAAGTTTCTTCAATTATGACATTGTTGACATTCAAGAGTTCAGCACTTATGTTCAAATTTATGTGAGAAAAAAAAATGCTTTCAAAAACCAATGGAATAAAAGATTAATTGTTGTTAAGCACTTTACATTCGAGTCACAACAAGAGCAAATAAAAATTGACATGCAAAAATCAAAAATGTTAATTGCTTGTGTACTTGAAGAATATTTTAAAATAACATATTCTTTTCTTTCCTTTAATATTTTTGTATATATTATTTGTATTGCAGCAAATATGGAGCTCTAATTGGAGTAAAAATTAATAGCCAGTGTTTTTTTAGAAGTTTAGAAATCCAGAACTGTGACTAAGTGGGCTAAACAGACCTATTGTACAGGTTGTTGTAGAAGAAAAAATCACCTTAACAGGTTATTGTAAAAAAACTATTATTCTGTTATGGGGGTTGTGGTCTTAGTCACAGTTATTCCAGAACGAGAGGAAACATATATTTTAGTTTTATACAAGGGGGACAGGGGTCTTCTCAAAATTAACTATATAAATGATGTAAGATGTAAAAACTAGAGACATTTCCATGGAAAACTAATTACAATAAAAATCATTGTGATAATCAATTAATATTGGAAGTGGACAATTCTGTTTTTTGAATAGTTCTTTTGTCATCATGTGTTGAAACTAAATTCATGGTGAGATAATCTGTAGCTATCTGTTTTACCAAAGCAATAGTTCATTATTTCAATACTCCACACAAAAGTTTAAGAAGTTCTTAAGAAAATTCAAAATAGAACTGACCACATGACGAAATGTAGTTGGTAATTGAAAGTTTATTGTTCAATTTAAAGATAAATATCTTTATGAAAATTTTGATATTGTGATGTTTTTGTCCAGCCTGCAACATTTATGTCACGAATGCGAGTTATAGCGATCATAGATCCCAGCGGCGGCATCAACATTCAGGTTCAGTCTGTGGATAAAGATTTTTAGACATTAATAACTTTGTCAAACCTTCATGGAATTTTATGAAATTTAGACAGAAACTTGTTTATGACCAAAATATAGTATCCATAGCAAAATTTTGAAAATATATGAAAATATTTATTTTCATTTTTCCATATTTTACTGATAAATGGACTTAGTTTATTTTACAGTTAACATTCAGATTCATGAAATTTCATCAGAAGCTTGTTATTGGCCAAAATACAGTATCCAGAGCAAAATTTTGAAAAATATTTATTTTTGATTTTTGTTGATAAATGGGCTTTAGAGTGAACAAGTAGATACAGTCTGGGATGAAAGTTTGTTACACATCAATTACTTTGTCCACAGGGGGGTCTCAACATGGTATTTTAGGTACAGTTGTGCAGCTGGGATTTAAAAAAACACCCCCCACTCATATATTGAATAATTGTGAAATCCCTACCTATACATATATTTCACAGCGAAATCATAACCCATTCATATATATTTATCAGCTCAAATAGTACCAAAAGGTTCGATATGTGACCTTTTTTTTTACTATACTCTAGTGGATAAAGATTATTAATTGTGACAGTGTAATAAAATTTGATCAATAACAAAACTTTTGTCAATAAGTTTCAGCAGATGTGGAAATTTTAATGACAAAGAGTTTGGGAAATTCAGTGAAGATTAATATTGTTGCACAACAAACTGAAAAATTATGACCCATTGATATATCACAATTGGTCAATTACTACCTATTGATATATTTCCTCAGTAAAATTGCACCCCATTGATATATTTGACGTATCAAAAAAGGGACCCATTCCAGCGGCACATATGTATATACCTTCATATAGGAAGAGACCCCCCCCCCGAGACTTTGTCAAACCTTCATAGAAGTTTATTAAATTTTGGCAGAAGCTTTTTAATGATTTAGAGATAATGTCGGAAGTAAATTTTAAGAGTCTGGGATTAATTTTTTTGACATGATAAATTTGTAAACCTTCATGGATTGTTATGAAACATTGACAGAAGCTAATTTTCAAGACCAAGAAATAACATTTAAAGAAAAAGTTTTTTTTTAAATTCTGTATTTTACTGATAAATAAACTCACTTTTTAAGTCAACATTACACTTTTACACTGACAGCAGCAATCGCAGGCGAGACACAAGGTTCCACGAAACCCCTTACGAATATTTTTTTTGTACTGGATACTTAGTACTATTGTATTTTTATACGACCGCAAAAACATTTTTGTGGTCGTATATTGGTATGACGTTGGCGTCGTCGTCGTCGTCGTCGTCCGAAGACACATTGGTTTTCGCACTCTAACTTTAGTTTAAATGGATCTTTAAGAAATTTTACCATAAGGTTCAATACCACAAAAGGAAGGTTGGGATTGATTTTGGGGGTTATGGTACCAACAGTTAAGGAATTAGGGGCCCAAAAGGGGCCAAAAATAAGCATTTTTGTAACTTCCAGACATAACTTGTGTGTTAGTGTATGGATCTCTCTGACATTGTACCACAAGGTTTCATATCAGAAAGGGAATGCTGGGATTGATGTTGGGGGTAATTGCTTCAAAATTTTAGGAATTAGGGGCCAAAAAAGGGGCAAAAAACAAGCATTTTTCTGGTCTCATGACAATAACTTGTGTGTAAGTGTATGGATCTTTCTGAAATTGTACTACAAGGTTCCATACCACAAAGGGAAAGCTGGGTTTGAGTTTGGGGGTAATTGCCCTAAACGTTAAGGAATTTGGAGCCAAAAAGGGGCCAAAAAAACAAGCCTTTTTCTAGTTTCCAGACAATAACTTGTGTATGGATCTCTCTGAAATTGTACTGCAAGGTACCATACCACAAAGTGAAGGCTGTTATTGAGTTTTGGGGTGATGAATCATAAGGGGATTCAAAAAATTTTGGGGGGGGGGATTTTTTTTTCTTTATAATTTTCCATTTTAAATTGGTTATTTCTGATTTATATATAAAAGCAAATAATAATGATATTGTTTGAATAGGTAAATTTAAATTTTTTAAGTTCTTAGACCACATTCATTCTGTGTCAGAAACCTATGCTGTGTCAAATATTTAATCACAATCCAAATTCAGAGCTGTATCAAGCTTGAATGTTGTGTCCATACTTGCCCCAACTGTTCAGGGTTCGACCTCTGCGGTCGTATGAAGCTGCGCCCCAGCGGAGCATTTTATTGTAATTTGTTTTATATATGTATTGAAAATACACATGTTATTTTATGATTGTGATAATAATAGTAATGACATCTTCCTAGTCATCTGTTATATGAGATATATTTGTATTGGAATTGATTATAGAAAAAAATCGAAATAAATCAATATATTGTTTCTTCTTAGTATTAAGATAATCTAAGCTTTCTTTTCCTAAGCTGTGTGCGAAGTTCACAGGACTGTTCAGGTCATATAGTTTAATGGTTTCTAATCTATTTGCTTGTAAATAATCATTTAATTCCACACTTTTTCACCATTTAAGAATTTAAAGTATGAAGTAATAAAAGGATTAACAAAAATATCAAACTCCAAAGTAAATTCAAAAAGGGGGAAGTCCATAAAACCTGACAAAGTCAAATGCTAAACAATATCAACCAATGGAATGAATGGAAAATAACTTATATTCCTGACTAGGTACAGGCATTTTCCAAAATAATTTTCAGAATTTACAGGAAAACTTTTGACATTGGTTAAACGACACATTATTCAGCCAATGGTGCCACACTACTTCATTTTTAACCGGATTTTCGAAGGAAATATCGGTTATAAAAATGGTGATGTACGGCGGGCGGCAGGGCGGATCTACGGGCGGCAGGGCGGATCTACGGGCGGCTGCCAAACAGTGTCAGCACAATAACATGAAAACGCTTTAACAAATTTTTTTCAAATTTAAATATGTTGTTTCCTCGGACTTAATGAAGGTCTAGTTCAATTTTCAAGATATTAGTATATCTCCTTTGTGAGTTATCGCCATTTTTAATATCCTAAAGTGGAATTTTTAAATATTTTACTCTTGTTATCTTTTTTATGACTAAGTATAATGTCTTATCTCACAATAAAAATTGGAGTGACAGATTTACTTAAAAATTATCTATTTCCTAAGTGGTAATGATTATAAGCTATATTATTAGACATTTTGAAGTTAATTACATTATTAATTATTAATTAGTTCTGGGTTATATCTTAGCATATAATATCATTGGAGTGACAGATTTATTTGAAAATTTTCTGTTGCCTGATAAAATCTGTAGGACTGTATATATAAAGTTTGAAATTTACTAGTAGGACTGTATAAATGAAATTTGAAATTTACTGTTTATTATTAGACATGTTGTAGATAATTAAGTCTCCCTACACCATATATATTCTTACCCCCACCCCCTTTCAATTTGATAATGTGCTTTTATCTTGTAAACGGTTGAGATCCCCACACCTAAACCATATATATTCTTGTATGGGACAATAAAACAAATCAAATGAAATATTTGGGGAGTCCCCGGGTTCACCCCACCCCCCTACTTTTTGAAAACTTGTAAACAGTCAAGATCCCAACCCTGAAACCATATATATTCTTGTATGTGACCACAAAACAAATCAAATGAAATAAAAGGCGAGTCCCCATGGGTCACCCCCACCTACTCCTGTTTAAGAACTTGTAAACGGTCGAGATCCCCACCCCTAAACCATATATATTCTTGTATGGGACAATAACACAAATCAATTGAAATATAGGGGAAGTCCATGGGGGTCACTCCCACCCCCTTTCTTTTTGAAAACTTGTAAACGGTCAAGATCCACACCCTGAAACTATATATATTCTTGTATGGGATAATAAAACAAATCAAATAAAAAATACAAGGCGAGTCCCCTGGGGTCACCCCCACCCCCTCCTGTTTGAGAACTTGTAGACGGTCAAGATCCCCACCCCTAAACCATATTTATTCTTGTATGCAATAAAACAAATCAAATGAAATATAGGGGAAGTCCATGGGGTTTACCCCCACCCCCCTTCTTTTTGATAACTTGTGAACGGTCTAGATCCCCACCCCTAAACCATATATATTCTTTAAATGGGACAATAAAACAAATCAAATGAAATTAAGGGGAAATCCCTTGGGGTAACCCCCACCCCCCTTTTTTTTTGAAAACTTGTAAACGGTCAAAATCTCCACCCCGAAACCATATATATTCTTGTATGGGACCATAAAACAAATCAAATGAAATATAAGGCGAGTCCCCTGGGGTCACCCCCACCGCCTCCTGTTTAAGAACTTGTAAACAGTCAAGATCCCTATCCCTAAACCATATATATTCTTGTACAGGACAAAAAAACAAATCATATGAAATAAAGGGAGAGTCCCCTGGGGATCACCCCCTTTTTTGAGAACTTGTAAACGGTCGAGATCTCCACCCCTAAAACATATAAATTCCTGTTCGTAAATTCAAGAAGATTTGAATGACATACAGGGTCAATCCATAGGCGTCACTAATGCATATCATAAACCAATTTGTACTGGACATTGCCCAATGTCAAGCGACAATGGGAATGACGAATTATTGGAGCTTTGTTTGGGAGACTTCGTAACAGCATTCTGTTACAATTATTTCTTGTTACTGATAAGTTTTATATATTTATGAATGACATTGTATTAATGATAAATAAAATTTTGGATTTTTTTCTTCTTTTCTTTGGTAAATTGTTTGTATAATTTTGTGGCAAGTTTGTTTGTTATTCCTTTAAAACTAATTTTCTGAATGCTATATATATTTTTTTTTTGATGAAGTAAACTCCTTTAAAAACTAAGCTTATATTGTCTATTAATAAACATATATTTAGATTTCTGATTTTGGGCCCAGTTTTCAAGTTGGTCCAAATTGAGGTCCAAAATTAAACTGTGTTTGATTTCAACATAAATTAAATATATATAGGGTTCTTTGAAATGCTTAATCTAAACCTGTATTTCTTTTCATTATTGATAATATGATAACACATTGAGGTCCAAAGGGTTCTAAATTACACTTTTGGTTCTTTGATATGCTGATTCTAGCAATGTTTGAGTGTTAAATCATGCCTAATTTTAGAGAACTTAGTCATCACTGGTTGTTGTTATTATATTATTGATTATAATTTGAAAAATTGCATCATATCTTATTTTAGAGAACTATTTATCCAGTTTGAGTTATTTCCCTTTGCACAGAAAATGTTAGGGATAAAATTAACCTGTGTTTCATTTCAACATAAATTAAATATATATAGGGTTCTTTCAAATGCTGAATCTAAACCTGTATTTAAATATTAGATTTTTGGGCCCAGTTTTCAAGTTGGTCCAAATCAGGGTCCAAAATTAAACTTTGTTTGATTCAACCAAAAAATTGTTTATGGGGTTTTTTGAAATGCTGAATCTAACCATGTATTGAGAGATTTTGGATTGTGGGCTCCTTTATCAAATTGGTCCACATTGAGGTCCAAAGGGTCTTAAATTAAACTTTTGTCTGATTTCATCAAAAATTGAATTCTTGGGGTTCTTTGATATGCTGATTCTAATATGTACTTAGATTTTTTATATTGGACCATAATAGGTATTTAAAAGTCCAATTTCGAGTATTTCAGTTCTTAAGCCACATTCATTTTGTGTCACAAACCTATGCTGTGTGAAATATTCAATGACAATCCAAATTCAGAGCTGTTTTAAGCTTAAATGTAGTGTCCATACTTGCTCAACTGTTTAGGGTTCGACCTCTGCAGGAAAAATTCCGGTTTGCTGTCACTCTGACAGCCTCTTGTTGGTGTTTGAAAGACAAAATAACAATGTTTTTGTCTCACCTGTGATGAATGTAGCATTTCTTTCTCTCTCTTGTCTATGTAAACACATGATGGTTAGTTTTCTGATTCTGTCGATTTCAGAATAAGCACTTATGAAATCATAACAGGTAGGATAGGTCATTGATATTTGGTTAACAGATCAGGGGCAGATCCAGCTATTTTCAAAGGGGGGGGGGGTCCCAACCCAGGATAAAGGGGGGGGGGCGGGTTCCAACCATATGTCCCCATTCAAATGCATTGATCGTCCAAACAAAAGGGGGGACCCCCGGTACACCACCCCTGGATCCGCCACTGCAGATCCTTAATTATCCATAGATCTTGGTCACATACAATGCCTCATCCCAAAGACATGACCAAGTGACTTGAGAATTCAAATGGTCAATCTATAATGAAGTTTTTGTGATATACTATTGATTTATGGTATGCTGTTGCATTCGTTATGCAGTTTTGTGGAAAATATGAGGCTCAGACCATCCAGTACTTATATAAGACTCCAATCGTAATTGGATTTGATGGATAGTTTTGCTACTGAAGATAGGGGTTCTCTCAGGTCGCTTCGGGTTCTTCCACCAATAAAAACTGACCTTCATGAGATAGCTAAGAGTGCTAAAAGTTGCATTAAACACTAACAATCAATCAATTGTACTAGACCACTGGTATTTTGTATCCTGTTGTAAAGGCCTCCTTTCATTTCACTCTCAATCAGAAAAAGAAAATCTGCCTCAAAGTCCTGCATCAGTGACCAAAAGATCAGTTCAATGTTTTCTGGCCCTTCTGCCACGCCTAAGATAGCAAAGGTATTTTATGTTATCTGGTCTGTGTGTCTCTACTGCCTCCCATACCAGGTTAAAGGTTTATTAAAGCTCTGGTTTTTTTGTAGTTTGTGGTCATATCAACTTGAAACTGAAAGTGAACTGTTTGATATACAAATATATATGCAAGGTTTTACTAAGATTTTATGGGTCACTGAACATGGAAATGTAATAGTGCCAGTGGGGCATGGTGTCTCATGAACATTTATTCCTAAGCTTTAGATTAATTGAATGTTGTCTGCTTAACATCCCTTGGCAATTGGACCAATTGAACTATAAAAGTAGATTTTGTACTTGAAAGGGTAACATAATAACCTTCAAAATATCGGTAGTGTTTTTATTTTCCTGGAAAGCAGGACAGATTTCTCTGTTCGAATACAATTCATTTAGATTCTAAAATGTTAAATTATATTATGTGACATTGATCTTAAGTTTGATGACGCTTTCTTTGTTTTTGAAGTGATACATCTTATTTAAATGATAATATATCAAATTTAACAGCCAGTTAAAGATTGCTTTCGAGTATCATAAATTACGTCGACATGAAGCAATAATTGTTAATGGGGGTCGTGAATATCCATGCTGTAATTTTAGTCCTTATTTTTCGTATTTAATATCTGCGCCTGTACAGGACATGATCCCAATTATGTATCTCATTCTGCCAATAGAACCTTAGTCACATCATAAGGCAACCAATCAGAACCGATATTTGTTAACTAATATTTTTAAGATGGCGTAAATATCAAAGAAAGTAATATATTTAGACCGTGGTGCAAAGCAACATTTTTTTTTAATGTGACTTCATGTTCTAAAACTTAAGATAGGCTTTTTAAAAATCATACACATACTAAAATTGTCTACCTTTAAAACCATATTATATACAAGGTCTAAACTTTGCTACTTTTCTAAACTCTACAGAGAAATGATTTTTTGTTGGTAAAAAATAATTGGATTGGTATAATATGCTTGAAAATGAGCTTTAAAACTAAAAAGAAAACAAAACTCTAAATACTTGTCTTTCTTCCGTTCTATATCAACAGTTTCAGCGGTTAATAATTTGAAATTATAATCCATGAAATCGTCTACGTATGTGTTATCAAGACTTTGTCAGCTTTTTCTTTCATTTGGCATCTGTCATTTGTTTTCTATTCTAATATTTAACTTCACTGAAACAGCTTTGGAAGTTGAAGGAAAGAACAAAATTTAAATTGAAATATATGATGATACCACACATATAGCCCAGTCTTCCACATATCTTGACTAAAATCTAAAATTGGACGATGAGTGTCAATGTAGAACTCATCTTTACGACAACAGAGATAATTTCAACTAAACAGCTGGACTTCAGTAGTCGCAGAAAGAACAAAACGTAATTTTACTCTGTCCTCACGAACAGGTATTACATTATATTTGATCTGCCGAAGGTGTTGGCCTATTCCCCTGATGACTAATCGGACAATCGATCAATGAAGCGTTACCTAATAGGGACAGACGGTTCCTTATACGGAACAGAAGATTCTGAAAGAGTTTGATTGACATTGCCAATTAGTGATTGGATGGCGTTAGTGTTATATTAGACTTCTTTAACGATATTTTTGTTGACTACATCTACCCCTCACTAACAGTTGTGACATTAGATTTGATCAGCCATCTGACTTGTTCAAACTTCTGACAATCGATCAGTGAAGCTTTAACAAATAAGGACACGATTTCATACGAGGGCATGAAGGATGGTGTAACTGCACCTACCATGTGCAATGCACTTGAAATAAATTTTACCACAGATCACCCCCTGTTTTTTAATGATAGGGTTTATGTTTTTCAGTCTTAAGTTTTCTATGTGGTGTTTTGTATACTGTTGTTTGTCTTTTGGTCCTTTTGTGTTGTGTGCCATGGCGTTGTCCATTTGTCATCGATTTATGAGTTTGATTATCCCTTTGGTATCTTCCGCTCCTCTTAAACAGTCCCGACTGCCTCATATCATGACTTACCTCTAGAAATTGCGGAAGAGAGTCGGTTGGGAACTAAACTTAAAGATAAAAGAGATTATTTCAACTTTTCAACAAGGTTGTGTAACAACATTCCAGTAGCACATGTATATGGAATCTATATCCATCAGTTGGCACGACATCCCGGGCTTGCGTTTCCTATCATGATTTCCTTGATAAGGTTACTGATTACAAAGAAGCTAATCTGCAGCAAAGATACAAGGTGGTACAGTTGAAACAATTCCTTCAAAAGTTTGTATATCCGATATTGTAACCGCAAAGAGTCATGCACATAAGACAAAACCGTCCGTGAACAGCTTTGACATATGGAGTTGAAACCTAAGTTTTAGTAATCACAAATAATAAAAATTCATAAGGGGTTCCGCGGAACCCTGTGTCTCGCCTGTGATTGCTGCTGTCAGTGTTAAAGTGTAATGTTGACTTAAAAAGTGAGTCCATTTATCACTAGAATACAGAATTTAAAAAAAATTCAAACATTTTCTTTAGATGCTATTTTTTGGTCTTGAAGATGAGCTTCTGTACAAGTTTCATAACAATCCATGAAGGTTTACAAATTTATCATGTATTTTTTTTTTATCCCAGACTGTCTTTAAATGTTAACTGTAAAAAATGAAGTCCATCTATCAGAAAAATACTAAAAATGGAAAAAATGTATTTTCAAAGGTTTACTTCAGACATTATCTCTTAATCATTAAAAAGCTACTGCCAAAGTCTCATAAAACTCTATGAAGGTTTGACAAAGTAATTGATGTGTAACAAACTTCAACCACAGACTGTATTTACTTGTTAACTGTAAAAACGTTAAGTCCATTTATCAGTAAAATACGGAAAAATGAAAATAAATATTTCCAAAATTTTGCTCTGGATACTATATTTTGGTAAAACAAGCTTCTGTCCAAATTTCATAAATTTCCATGAAGCTTTGACAAAGTTATTGATGACTGAAAAAATTAACTTCAAACTGAGCCTGAGTGTTAACTGTAAAAAACTAAGTCCATTTATCAGTAAAATACGGAAAAATGAAAATAAATATTTTCAACATTTTGCTCTGGATACTGTCTTTTGGCCATACACAAGCTTCTGTCCAAATTTTATAAAATTCCATGAAGTTTTGACAAAGTTATTGATGACTGAAAAACTTAAACCTCTGACAAAATCTGACGTTAACTGTAAAAAAAAATAAGTCCATTTATTAGTAAAATACGGAAAAATGAAAATAAATATTTTCAAAATTTTGCCCTGGATACTGTATTTTGGTCATAAACTAGCCTCTGTCCAAATTTCATAAAATTCCATGTATGTTTGACAAAGTTATTGATGTCCAAAAAAACTTTAACCACAGACTGAACCTAAATGTTGACGCCGCCGACGCCGACGACGGAATCTTGGATCACTATGTCTCGCTTTCGCGAAATAAATTTCGCAAGCTCGACAAAAATGTAACAAATTAAGGATATGAATCATGACAGTACCGAACACCCATTCATCAATTGATAAATAAGAAAGTTATTCATCTTGTTCACACGCAACGTTTACTATGTGTGACTGTCAGAATCTCTATCTTTTATGCTTATTGGTGTAAACTTTACCAAAACAAACACTATCTTTTCAAGCTTCATTTGCACAAACGGCAACATATTTGACACGAGTGAACGATTCTCTAAAACTTAAAATTACTTTAAGAGAGAGGCGAAAGATACCAAAGGGACATTCAAACTCATAAGTCGAAAATAAACTGGCAACGCCATGGCAAAAAAAGAAAAAGGCAAAAAGACAATAAACAGGACATAAAACACAACAAAGAAAAGGAAGGAAGTGTATTTTTGGATTAAGAGGAATCAATAACAGAAATATAAAGTTCTTATAGTTTTCATAAAGGCCTGTTCTAACTCCTGGACTATAACACCAAGGGCTGGATGTGATACCATGTATTGATTCTTTTGCAAAATATATACTAGTAATAAATGTAAAAGAAGACATTATATTTATATCATGATTTGTTTTAATTTAAAGACAGATTGTCATGAATTTCTGATTAACTGGTTTCTTGTCACTACAGTCGCTGTCCTTTTCTGATACTTTTGTCCTACAGTAAAATTAAAAATTCAGGAAAATGTTTTAAAATGATTGCGATAATATGTGTTATTTTATTAGTTTTTTTCATTCGTTTATTCATTCATTTGTTTTTCTTAACTCTCCAATTAAAATTTCCATGAAACATAAAAGTTTTTATAAATTTGATTTTCTACGAATTAATCCATGCCTGCGAGCACTAACATGTTTAGTGAAAACATAGCTAGAAAATCTTATTCGAATACTTTACTTTTGAAATTTCAAATGTAATATAAATAATAATACTAGTATTTATATAAACATGAACGTCTTTTAAAGATAAAAGCTTCAACTGATTATAGCAATTGTACATTTAAAGTTTTCTTTATAAAGTCGTTCGTAGCATCAACACAGTTCAACTCTATAGAATTGCAAATAAATAGCAAATGAAATAAATCGGATACAGGGACCTGTTTATCGAAGTAGTGTTAGGATTACGACATGCCCTTATGTCCTCTTAGAACATAATTTTGTAACCTTTACGTCATTTGGTCTCAGGTGGAGAGTTTTCTCTTAGCAATCATACCACATCTTCTTATTTTTATATTATCAAATATGTCACAGGATTCGTCCTATGTATAGGACACCAATTTAGGTGTCTTATGATGTTCCTAACTTTAGAATATATTTTATGATGTCTTAACCTTTAAACAGACATGACCACAGCTTATAAACGTTAAGGTAAAGGGCGAATAATATTCGTAAAAATATTCACCTAAGGCTATATACTGGATTTGCAGGAAGTGCCACCAAAAAAAGGCTAATAGAATTCTAAATATGTATTAATGTGCTTTCAATGTATCATTGCTACATGTATGATCAATAAATAATTTTCTATTCAGATACATTTCTTCAAATATGTAAAGCAACGTATACGGAACAATGACACGAAGACATTCCAAAGTCTTCCAATGCTACACATAAAAAGACATAATTTGCTAATGTAAAATATTGCAGGTAACAATAACTGCAGGTAACAATAAAAAATTCTATTATTGTTACTTATATTTTCCATATGTAATCGGGAAAATACATTTCGGCAATTAGTCTAGGAAGTAACAATAATTATTTCTTATTGTTACTTTTTGTGGGTAACCGTAGCCAGTACCTAATATATTTCGTTGTAACTAGTTACAAATAATTTATCATTACTTATATAAAACGCAGCTACATTTTCTTTTATTCATAAAGTTTCTATGTACAATTATTCTTCACATATATATGATTATTCTAATTATTAATCTTATTAACTTGTTATGAATATTATTATAATTATTACTATTATATCGTTATTATTATTATTATTATTATTATTATTATTATTATTATTATTATTGTTGTTGTTGTTTTGGTATAATGTGATTTTTTTATTTTTATTTTGCTACTAGTATTTTCTTTGACGCCAAAACTCAAATCAGCGGTTAGAAAGTCCTAGTTTAAATAGTCCTAAGATACCCTCGATGTTCTTGCTCAGACATGTTGCAAGTCTGTCCTTGAATAATCCTAATCTATGTCCTAAGACAAGTCTTAGGATTGAATTTTAAGACAGCTTCGATAAACATGCCCAGTTTTAAACAAAGTAATTCAAATTTAACTTCAATAAATTTATTCGATACCTCTTGTTATATCAAAGAATATTTTATACCATAAAATTGAGAATGGAAATGGGGAATATGTCAAAGAGACAACAACCCGACCAAAGAGCAGACAACAGCCGAAGGCCACCAATGGATCTTCAATGCAGCGAGAAAATCCCACACCCGGAGGTGGTACTCAGCTGGCCCCTAAATAAAATTGTGTGCTAGTTCAGTGAAAACGGACGTCACACTAAACTCTTAAACATATAAATGAACATAAAATTAAAAAACATACATGTATCTGGTTTAATAAAGCAAATAGGTCATCCAAAGTCATGAAGTATATAAATCAAACAGAATTTATAAAAGTATTTTTAAAAACAAAATAATGCTTTATAGAAGATCCTACCTTTGACATAGAAATCCTCTTTTACTATTACAGCTCAAGTCGCCCCATTTGAAGCCTTCGTTGGATTTCCAGTAAACCATACAATGCTCAACATTAGGATGCCTAGGTTGAGTGCTTTGCTAGTCGGAAAACTTTATAGGCTTAAGCGGGTTGTGCCATTTCCAGGTCTTTATGTCGGGTAAATTACTTGCCCCAATCCACAACCATGTTGTCTCTGAAAACCGAATGATATTCAGTGTATGTAAAGTGCATGACCTTTTCAAAGTACCCCTGTCTTTCATACACACAATATGCGAAATTGCCAGTATAAATATGATTTACACTTTGAAAATTACATTCATGAGTTATTGAAGATGAACACTGCTACATCTTTAAATTTGAAAATTTTGACTTTATTCACATTTTAACACATATTTCCCAACATTATGTCGCCGTACAAAAGTTTTAAAATTTGCTCAATGTCCAGTGAAAAAGGAAATATTATCAGTAGTCATTCGAGTACAATTCAACATATATCTAATTTAGCACGCTTCTGAGACAAAGCATACCGAAAGGTGGTGGAAACAATTGGTAAAGAGCAGCATAATCCCAAGTATGCATATGCATGATACTAAACTCCTAACTGTAGGGATTGTGCTTGATTCTTATATGATGAAGATAAAATCATTCAATCAGTTTATTTGAGGTCTGGAGCTGGCATGTCAGTAACTGCTAGTAGTCCTTTGTTAATTATGTTGATTATTGTCATTTTGCTTAGTTTCTTCTGTTACCTTTTCAAACATCGGACTCGGACTTCTTTTAAACTAAATTCTACTGTGCGTATTGCTGTGTGTTTGTTTATTCCACATTGGCTATAGGTATAGGGGAAGGGTTGAGATCTCACAAAACATGGTTAACCCCGCCGCATTTTTGCGCCTGTCCCAAGTCAGGAACCTCTGGCCTTTGTTAGTCTTGTATGTTTTTTTAATTTTGGTTCATTTATATGTTTCGGAGTTTAGTGTGACGTCCATTTTCGATGAACTGGTATACATTATTGTTTAGGGGCCAGCTGAAGCCCGCCTCCGGGTGCGGGATTTTCTCGCTGTGTTGAAGACCCATTGGTGGCTTTGGGCTGTTTCTGCTCTTTGGTCGGGTTGTTGTCTCTTTGACGCATTCCCCGTTTCGATTCTCAATTTTACTATCTGTTTAGTAATTCGAGCTATGATAAGAAGCGAAGGTTATACAGGTATCAAGTTTACTTTTATAAATTTTGACTTGGATGGAGAGTTGTCTCATTGGCACTCATACCACATCTTCTTATATCTATCAAGTACTCAGGAAAGGAATTAAACTCAAGTTCTGCCTATGATAATGTCTGGTATTCTGTATGCATTTCGTTGGACAGGGCTATAATGATTAAAAAGGCAAAACGATACCAAGGGAACAATAAAAAATAAACTGGATGAAAAAGGACACAATATATCCAAGATGAAAATGGCGAAAAGTAAACAAAAATCTACTAAAATCTTCACAGAAAAACAAAGGTTAAATACCATATGCTGTTCTGCTTTACTTATCCGACGAGGACAAGGATAAATTATATCACTATGCAATTTATTTTGATCAACGTCTATTTAATCAGAGAGGGTGAGGAAACTTGCATGTATGAACTTTTTCAATTTGTATCACTGAGATGAAAAATGTCACCATGCTATAAGTCAAACTGAATAATGTACATGTATAAGCATTTTTAGGAAACTACTCTCGTGTTTCTTTAAATAAAACACAAGACTTCTTTTCATGAAACGTACCGCAAAATGGAATATTTGTATTATCTTAATTATCATTCCTTGCACCCACGGTCAATGTCTTCAGTTTATAAATTAAAAAGTTTGAGTTCCTATGAAGTAATCATTGATTAACATGTACTGAACAGCTAACTTATAATTATGTTAAATGCATTGAGGTAGTGAAACTTACTGTCAGTTAGTGACTTCAGATAGTTGTTGATATCTGCACTTTCTGGCTGAGCAAATACACCTCCAAATGTGGAGCAATATCTCAAAAATACACAAAAACAATGGTAGTGTTTTGTTTTTTTTCGGTCAAGTTTTTCTATTTTAAATTTTTTAAGGGTTAAGGTTTTGGTATAGTTATATCATGGGGGGGGGGGGGGGTTGTATTTGTATACTTGCTGTTTTACTTTTGGTTTTCCTCTCCTTTAAATGCTATGGAAAAGCATCTGAAAACTCTAAACCCTACAACGTCAAATGAATAATTGTATGTCAGCTCATTTTTCATCTTAGTATATCTATTTATATCTTTTAAGGAAACACAGTCGTACTCCTCTTTTTGCAAAGGGTACATTTTTCTTCTATTAGAAAAAATAGTTTTTGATAAATTAAACTTTATTCTATTTGGTTAAAATAGTGACGTCAAATTTATCTAAAATTTTCAAAAATTCAATTAGAAGAAATAGCATTCAACGAATTTAAAGTAAGATGTAATCGATCTAGAACGATTTCAAAACATATTTCCGAACCCTAGGAATCCTTATTTATCAAATAGTTATGTTATTGTATCTAAGTTACCTGTGCTTCGATCCATGTCATTTTAGTTGATACCAACGCATATTCCATTCCTCTATACGTGTTCCATTGTAGTCCCAGACAGCAGACTGGGATGAATGCTAAGGTTATGAAATAAATGAAATTGAAGTTCAAAAATTGAGACAGAAAAAAATGATTTTGCTTGAATAAGTTGTGTATACTTTGATTTCTATCGTCATAATATTGATTTAATGATAACACCAAGCAAGGAAAAGATCCTAAAATCTTGCAGTTTTATTATGAGATGCTGTTTAGGAGATTGTCATAAACAAATTTGATAATTCAATAATTGAATCAATATATTTAATAATTCAATAATTGAATTAATCAATTTAATAATTCAATAATTGAATTAATCGATGTAATAATTCAATAATTGAATAAATCAATTTAATAATTCAATAATTGAATTAATCATTTTAATCATTTAATAATAATTCAATAATTGAATTAATCAATTTAATCATTTAATAATAATTCAATAATTGAATTAATCAATTTAATCATTTAATAATAATTCAATAATTGAATTAATCAGTTTAATCATTTAATGATAATTCAATAAAGCATTTTTTTAAAAAGAACCAAACTTACGAAGAGCAGTAAATGTACCTGTGAAGAATATGAAATGCATGGTTGATTAAAACAATTTCCAAAATGACAGCCAGCAGCATACACACGGGTAATGGAAACAAATATTATGGGTTTTTTTCACTGAATTGTTTTGCATTCTATTTTGATTGCAAAATTGATAGTCTGCCCTTTATTATATGTAATATAATATAACCATATGTTCGTGATAACAGGAGCCCTGCATCTAATTTCCTTTAAAAATGCACGGTTTTTTTGTGTGTTTTTCTATTACTTTATAAATATTATTATTTTTCGTTATATTAATTCTTATAATAGTTCTAATTATTAATCTAATTATCATTATTATAAGTAAAACATGATGAATTTTGTCACTTTGTTTTATAATTTTATTTGCTATTTCTTATACGCCAACACCAAGGTCAGCGATTAGAAAATTCTAGCTAGGATAGTCCTAAGATAGTTTAGATATGATTGCTCATACATGTCGGCAGTCTGTCCTCATATTAACGTAGTATATGTCTTAGGACACATTTAAGAACAGCTTTGATAAACAGGTCCCAGTTTTTTTAAAGAAGTTCAAATTTAATTTCGGTAAGTATATTCGATATTAAAGTATATTATTTGTTTTCATTTAAGGGTACATGTATCTGGTCTTATAGTTGATGTGTTTCCCTCGGTTATAGTTTGTAACTCGGATTTGTGTTCATTTAATCGATTTATGATTATTAAACAGCGGTATACTACTGTTGTCTTTATTGATAATCAAATAAGTGAAAATACACATCCACATCAAACAAAATTTATAAAAGTAATTATTAAAAAAATAATAACACTTTTAACAATCCGAACTTTTCTGATTGGGTTCCATTAATATATCCACCAGAACTAGAAATTAAAGAAACAACAGACACGGCTTCCTCCGCCTCATTTTTAGACTTATACCTCGAATTTGACATACACAGTCATCTCAGTACCAGAATCTATGACAAACGAGACGATTTTAATTTTGAAATGATGAATTTCCCCCACCTTAGTAGCAATATACCAACTTCACCTGCATATGGGATATACATTTCCCAACTTATTCGGTATTCAAGAGCTTGCAGCTCCTACACAGACTTTGTAAAACGTCACCAGTGTCTGAGCAGAAAGTTGATGAACCAGGGGTATGTCAAAGAACGTCTCGTCCTTTTTCTAAAAAAGTTCATCGGAAGGTACCAAGAACTTGTTGATAAATATTCCGTATCAACTTCACAAATAATACACGATGGTCTTGAAGTATAGATTTTGCGTACTGACGTTGTTTATCATATTAATACCGTGTTGTAGTATTCTTTTATTTATCTTTATTAATATTACTTTTACTGTTAAGTCTGTTTTTTTTTTAGATATCCATTTGACGTGACTCTGTGCTTATGTATCCCGTCATACTTTGAACGACAAAATTATTTTATTTATTAATATTACTTTTACTGTTGAGTCTGTTTTTTGTGATATACATTTGACGTGACTCTGTAACCCCAAATATAGAAATCAGTCTTTCCTGTCGCCCCATCTTTAGCATTTAGTCGATTTATATTATATCACACAATTCGCAATAGAAAGATTATTAAGCTCACTGCTTTTCCAGTCGGAAAACTTGATAGGATTTAATGGGTTTTGCCATTCCCATGTGTTTTTGTCGCGTAAAAAACTTGCCCCAATCCACAGCCATATACATGTAGTGTCTGAAAACTAAATAATATGTGTAAGCAAACTGCATGAGCTTTTCTACACGTTCTTGTCTTCTACCTACATACAATCCGCTACATTGTCAATTGCAAAATATAAATAATTTAAACTTTGGAAATGATATATAGTAAATATTCAAAAGGAATACTAGTAATGTAACATCGTCAAAGTTACAAATTTTGACTTTCTTTATATTTGGAACAATGTTCAGTTAAGTAAAAAAAACTATGATGTCTTCAAGTATAATGTTTCTGTGACAATGGCAGACAGGGATATGATGAAAGCAATAGGCACCGAGTTGCATAAAGCAAAGCATGCGATTGCACGTAATATTTTGAATTTTGCCATGGTATTGTTTGTTTTTTTCCGACATGGACATTTTTTTTGCCTCCTAAGTATCTTTCCCTTTTTCTGAGTTATTCATAGATGATATTCTGTCCGTATTAAAGAAATATTTTATTTAAGATGTTTTAGTTATTCACATCTATTCTTTACCAAAGTTATTTCCTTATTAGAATCGAAATGTACATGTATATGTCATAAGAATAGAACACAAAATGTCGAAAATCTGTGGTACAAATGGTGGACAATTCAAACAAATAACACAATTGATTATAAAAACACATCTTAAATTATCATACATAAATTTTCATTATCATTGAAAAAGGCATGCCGCATCAGATCTACACAAAGTACATAAAAAAAAACAACAAACAAAAAGACTTAAGACACAAAGTATCGACCTGAGAATACTCACAGTTTCTTAAAGCTAGTTCAAAGCCAATAAAAACTAATAAAAAAAGCATGTATCCAAGACTTAAATGGACTGTTAATGTCTGATTCGGTTTCAATAGTCGGTTCTTCGGTCCAAAGCATATCTGACCATTGGTATAACACATGCTTGTGAACAGTTTTTGAATATAAAATTCACAAAAGGTGAATGTATGGCACAGGACTGAAAAAAAAGAATACAAAAAAATACCGAACTCCAAGGCAAATTCAAAAAGGGGAAGTTCATAAAAACTTACAAAATCAAACCCTATCAATCAACGGAACAAGTGAAAAACAACTGCAACATTCCTGACTTGGTACAGGCATTTCCCGAAGAAAATGGTGGGTTAAACCTTGTTTTAAAGCTAACTAAACCTCCCACTTGTATGACAGTCGTTTATAGTTCCGTTATATTGACAAACTTGGGTAAGCATCCCAAAAAGACATAAAACGACGAAATATCATTATTAGGACGACATATTATAATTAGATAACACGTTTGCCTGTTTATGACGTACGCTAACAAAATTATTACTCCTTCAGCATGGTCAATGAAAATGAACCGACGATTTTGTCATGTTCACTTTAAGACCTCTTTGATTCTCGCGGCGTATTAAAATACTATTCATTATAAAACATTGCTGTCCTTTTGTTTACTCTGATTATTTAGGCTTTTAATTTAAATACCGAGGTGCTTTTCGGACGCAAGATGTTTTTACAGTGTAGTTTTCATTTTGTTTACCCTTGTATTTATAGTTTACTTATTTTGTACTTTATCGAGAGACAGTGTTTTTTTTTTATACGGTATGAACTATCAAATACAAAACTTTTTTATCGGCGTCTTTGTCAATTTACTATCAACTACAAAAACTTTTTTATCGGCGTATTTGTCAATTTACTATCAACTACAAAAACGTTTTGTTGGTGTCTTTGTCGAGTTTACTATCATCTACAGCAACTTTTTTGTTGGCGTCTTTGTAAGTTTTATTTGTATGTTTGTTTGAAATTTTTAATCGGTTGTGTTATATGTCTGTGATGTATGTTTACACATTTGTGGCTGCTGGATCCCAATTCTAGTCCCATTAACCTAGTATGTCTGCTTGGGTTGCTCACCCAATTTTGTCAATATAACGGAACCATATACAACTGTTAAACAAGTGGGAGATTTAGCTAGCTATAAAACCAGGTTTAACCAAACATTTTCTTCAGAAAATGCCTGTACCAAGTAAGATATATGGTAGTTGTTTTCCACTCGTTGGTTGATAACGTTTTTAATTTTTTCAGTTTTTATGGACTTCCCTTTTTGAATTTACCTTGGACTTCGGTATTTTTGTTAAAACTTTTATGCATGACAAATT